GACCAATACTTTTGATCCGCCACCCACGGCATATCAATTTGCCGGCGCAGAGACAGCTCCGAAAGTGAGAGACCGCAAAAGGAGCGGCGGTAAAAAGAGAGACTAAAAGAAACAGGAAAGAAACACTACAACTTTCTACGTACCGCCTTTGCATGGCCTTGCCCGCCTTGCCCTTCTTCTTTCTTCTTCCTCCACTTCTTTTTTCTTCTTCTTCTTCTTCTTTTTCTTCTTCTTCTTCTTCTTCTTCTTCTTCTTCTTCTTCTTCTTCTTCTTCTTCTTCCAGGGATGCACGTCCCACGTAACGCCCCGAAGTGCATCCCCATCCAAAGCAGGGCTTATGCTGCACCGAGCGGCGCAGAGCGGCGCCCCGTCGTCCCTGTAAAGCCCTCACTCTCCTTCGGGAGCGGGGCCGCCGCCGCCGCCAACGCTCTCCGCTTTTTATTGTCCGTCTCACCAATTTTTGATAGTGTACTAAATATATTTATTCGCAAGGGCGCCGCGAGCGCTCCATTCCTCGTTTACCGCGCAATGCTGCTGCTTCTTCTTCTTCTCCTTCTTCTTCTTCTTCTTCTTCGGCGCCACAAATTTATATCTGTCCTCGTGTGTTTCCCACACGTGTCGGATACATCAGTGTGAGTGTAAGTCATGCAGAGGTATCTCCAGTGTGTGTGTGTGTGTGTGTGTGTGTGTGTGTGTGTGTGTCTGTGTGTGTGTCTGTGTGTGTGTGGAGCGTGTGCGCGCAGAGGATGACATCCACCCTCTCCTCCTGCAACCCCTCCTCGTGACCACATAACAATCATTGTCCTGTTGTTAGGGTGGCGTCGGGGAGCAGGGTAAGGGAGGGTGGCCCGGCCCGGCGCTTGCAGACCGACTCCGAGAGTCCGTTTTCGTCGCCCTGTCTCTCTCGCACCGATACGGGACGCCCCCGTGAGTGCGAGAGAGACAGAGCGACGAAAACGACTCTCGGAATCGGCCTGCTGGCCCCTGGGTCCGGAGGACCGGAGGATATAGGCCTCATTCAGTGGAGGAAGTAGTGATAAATTTGCGGGCGGGGCAACCTGATTTGGCTGCCCAGGGGGTTGGTGTTCGCAGCGTTCGCAGTGTTGGTGATGCAGTGTGGGGTCATCACCGCCACCCTCGGCGCGCCTAGTGCGTCTACCAGTGCGTCGACAACGCGACGCGGTGCCAGTCGTTAGCAGAGTGGTCCGTCCGGCCAACAGACAGCAGGGCGATTCCCGTCTCGCACAGTGGGCCAGAAGCCGGTGGAGGCGGCCAAAACTCTAGACGCGTTTTGAGCTCCAGAGTCGCTAAATGGAACTCGAACCGAACGTGTGACCCCACCAATGGATTGCTCTCCGAACGAGGGATCCATTGGTGGAGTCACGTTCGGTTCGAGTCCTGTTGAGCGACTCTAGAGCTCAAAACGCATCCGGAGTTTCGGCCGCCTCCACCGGTCTTCTGGCCCACTGTGGACTGCTCCAGAATTAGGTGGAGTGCGATGCGAACAGGAGGTTGGCGGCGTGGTGGCGTGTCGCGTGCCGCTGTCCATAACGCGACGAGTCGGCCGACAGTCACGTGACAGGGCGGCCGTTGCGACAACACGTGCTGTCAGAGGCCCGGCCTGGCCTGGCGCGGCGTGGGGCGTGGCCGGCAGCCTCCCCATCACGGAAACATTTACCGCATTGTTGACGATCGTGTCATGCCGCTGCTCCACGCCGCACCCCCGGCAGCAGACTGACTCCGAGAGTCGTTTTCGTCGCTCTGTCTCTCTCGCACCTAGACGGGACGTCGCCGTGAGCGCGACAGAGACAGGGCGACGAAAACGACTCTCGGAATCAGTCTGCTGCACCCCCGGCAGCCCTAAACGACATGCAGCGGTGTCCCCGGAGAGCGTCCCGGGGAGGGGGAAGGGGTGCGACTTAATGGAATGGGTAGAGCATGATGGAGGAGAGAGCGGCCGCCGTTAGGAGGAGGTTCGAGGGCAATCAGGTATTCCGCCATGATTGGCTTCGAGGGAATCTCGAGAAATACTACATTTCCCGGCGCCACAGGAAACCCTGAACTTTTCTTTACCATCAGGCACCGCCGCGGAAGCAACCTTCGGTTGTGCGAAGAAAATCGCAGTTACTCCCAAGTAACCGAGGGACGGATCGTCCAATAGGGTACTTTCGTAGATCCCTGAACCGGAAGCACACAGACGCCATTTGGCGGAATAATCCTGGAAAAAACAAGCCGACAGCCCAAAAGTTCGGCCACATTTGCATTCAACATCGTTTTAAACCTTTAGTTCAAGTGTGGCGAAACGTGTGCTATACTTTTCCGGGGAAGTTGTTTCCGGGCCCAAATGGGGTCGCTTGCTTCCGGTTCAGGATCTACGAAAGTACCCTATAAAACGGCATTTTGTCGGAATTTCTGGAAATTTTCCGCTGTTTTGCGGAAACAAAGCCCGCGGAAGTGGCTTATCCTGAGAGAAGAGTGTGCTAACATCTACGCGTGTGCGCAAATTAGCGCGTTTGTCTCCGTAATGTGGCTCCGTGAGTGTGTGCACGACGGCCATCTGTCTGCGTGTGTGTGCGTCAGTGCACCCGCCCGTCTGTGTGAGGTCACGGTACGGACATCGCCACATATGTCGTGCGGGGCGGAGCAGCGCGGGCAGCGCGCCGTCACTACCCCGGGCTTCTAGCGCGCTGGCGCGGCGGGTCTGGCGGGTCCTCTGGGACGCGTGGGGTATTCCCGAGGGCGGCCCGTCCGGCTTCCTCGCTCCCCGCCCCCGGACCGATACAAACGCCTCGTCGGCAATAACATTTCTATTTCCTCCAAAGCCGAGCCGGGCCGGCCAGAGCGGGGCCTTCTCGTTGCGCGAAAACGAGGAAAGCGAGCATCGTGGGAGAGAGGGCGTTTTGCGTTCGGCTTCGTCACCGCACTGCGTTGCACCCCGTCGACGTCCCGTGAGACGCCCCCCCGGCACCGCGGACCGTGCGAAAAACGGCGAGTCAAGTGGATGTGAATGTGCGTCTCAATCAATGTGAATGTGGCTGCCGACTGGCGCTGTCCGGACCGCGCAGCGCGGCAGCGCGTCACAGCCCAACTAGTGCGAAAACCGCGTGCCGCCCCAAACGCCGAATGAAAAGCAATTAGCGGTCCGGACCGCAGTATTAAATGCGGCGATTGGCTTGTTCAGCAGACTCATTCCGAGAGTCGTCGCTCTGTCTCCCTCGCACCCAAACGGGACGCCCCATGTGTGCGAGAGAGACAGAGCGACGACTCTCAGTCTGCTGTGGCTGGGGGCGCGCTGCGCGCTCGTCAGTGGAACAGGAGTCGCATGGGAGTGTGCACACTCGCAAAAAGAAGACTGCAGCGAGTGGGCGACACGGCAGACACGGCGAGTGCGACGTCCCGACACACTGCGATAAATCACAGCCCATTAGACAGCGGCCTCGGTGCCAGCCCTGCTTTTATCACGACGACCAACCCCTTCCCCGCCGGAGCCCCCCGCCCCCGATCCGCCCGCGCGGCGCCCCCCCTCGCCGTCTTTCGCTGGCTGATGCTGGCTGGGACAACTGGGGAAGCGCAACCAGAGGCTTTCTAATTTTCCCGAGTACTCCGGTCCGGACCCCGGCCTGGCCCGGCCGCCCCCTCCCCCTTGTCGTCTGTCGGGTTCGCTCTTTCTCGCCCGAAGCGCCGTGGCGCCGTGGCCTGAGCCCGGGCCGTGGCAGTGCCGTGGCAGTGCCGTACCCCGGCGCCGCGTAGCGCCGCGCGGCCAGGACTCGCAGCGGACCATATAATTGGATGACTCTGTGACTGGGCTTGTGTGTGTGCGTGTGTCGGAGGGAAGAACCTCGAGCGAGATTTAGCAGTGAAGCACCCCCTCCCCCTACTTTCAACTCTGCGTTCCCTCGCATGTTGCTCGCCCATTTTAGAAAAGTACCCCGCCAACACCTCTGTCTTTACAACGCTGGCGCCCCAGTTCGGAAGACTGACGTTCGCAAGAGTCGAGGGAGCACGGGACCTGCAGACGTACGGATTCGAACATGACCTCATTTTGCATACTACTGCTGCGCTGTGTCCCACCCACCCCGCCGAATGCTATGTCTGCGGACACCCAACCAAAGCCCCCAATCTGCCGCGTGTCGTACCAGGTCTGACAATCGCCGAACAGATAGGCCGGGTCGGCGAGCACGCGGTGCCAGCACCCCAGTCCGCCGTAAGCTCGAAGTAGGGGTGGCACCGCGCGCTGCCGACCGATTCGTCTCTGTCCGTCCGAGTCAGCATTGTCAGCCCTTGCTTGACGTCCGGGGGGATGCTGCTGAGCCCATGGCACCACGCAGTGCTTCTTTTGTTTGCTCCAGTCGGCCGGATTCCAAACCGGTGCCGCTGAGCGGTGTCGAAGCGTGCCAGCGTCGACAAACCGACTGACGATTGTAAAAGGCGAAAGATAGAACGAAGTCGTGATAATTATTTTAATTACCTATGAACCTACATAAACCGACAGAACAAGAGCAATTTTTAAATCAACTATAACAAAGGTTATTATTAATACAGGAGGATGTTGGCAACATTGGTCGAAGGAGACGTCGTACAGACATGAAAAGTGGAAACATTTGTTAACAATATCGAGGAGCCCCTCAATCGGCCCCAGACAAGCATCGAACATACTTTTCTAACATACGTTTCTAATGAGCAAAGAAGCGGTTTATAGACAAGTATGTAAGCAATTTCATAATAGATATTAACAGGTATTATATGTATACAAAAATAATTTAAATGTAATTGCACTATCATATGCAAGATGATAGGAGCCGTGACCGGACAGAAAACCGCATGAGCTCAACAATTCCCAAGTGGCACTCTGTACGGTGACGACTCACAGTGTCCTAAGATAAAGTAACATGGCAGCACTTGCAGCTCGGCTACTTTTTGTTTGTTTTTCAGCTGTTCTCTATTTTTTGGGATCCTGGAAAATGATGAGACAAAAATCATCATTTGATTTTTTTCAGCCATTTTAGCGGACGCACAAAAGAGAGGTAGTTCACTTACGATTTGAATCAGCGGGCAGAAGCACCATAGTGACGGACAACGTAGGGGTGCCACGTCAGAGTCACGCTCGACAAGAGCAAGTCTTGTCGCCTCTGCAGATCCTTCTGCTTCCACAAATCTAGTCTTCATTTTTGTCTCCACTAGTGTCCCTTCTTCTGTTGCCACTTTTGGCCCTGGCCGGCCCAACTTCCGTATGCACTTCTCCACTCTCGCGTCTTGTACGATTTGGACCATCCACCGTTTCGTATCTAACTAGTCTGGCTGGAGGGGCTCGTTATGACTTGGAGGCGCTTCGAGGCGACAGATCGTCTTCGCCTGACGTCCTGTTGCTGCTCTGGGTCGAGCATTCACAGGCTCTTCGATTCCCGTGCTCAACACCAAATGCACAAATGTTACAGAAATTTTGAGCCAGTCTTGCCGAGAGTTTTATTGTCGTAACAAATATTTATTTTAATACAAAAAGGCTTGCAAAAAATGCTGAAATAGAAGGTCAAGTAAAAATTAGGATTGTGTGCCGTATTTAGGGCCGATCGTTATGGATGCAGCACGAGTTTTTGCATTTTGAACGATGACTGAATTTTTGACATACCTGATTTGGCTCCTGCCCACACTCCAGTAAATGTCGTTCGAGGGACGTCTTCCACCGAAATGCACGCTGGCAGTGCGGACACTCCTCTTGGGGGCCGGTATCTGCAACAAATCGTAAAAAGGCACCAGAAGAAGAAAGTTAATCTTAAGATTGAAGTTAATTGTTAAGTTAATTAAGATTAAAGTTAAGATTGAAAGTTAATCGAGCTGCTCGAATTTCATACCGGTTCTTTCTTGGTTTTCCCTTTTCAGCCGTATCTGATTTTGTTCGGCCAGATCCGTGGCTCTTAGGAATGCCCGCTGTTCTTCAGTCATTTCCACGGCTCCCTGCACTTCGATGGGAGGAAGGCCTCGCTTTTTTCTGTAACGATTTCGTTCCCGCGCCCGTTTTCTCTCCTGCTGTTCTTCAGTCAGTCCCATGGCGTAAAGTTCCCGTTCCGAATTCACTTCACCACACTTTAGTCTTGCACGGAGTAGCTGTCGTTCCCGGTCATACTCGCGTTTCCGCTGCCGCTGTTCGGCAGTCAGGTGTCTCTGACGTTCCCGGTCCAGCATGCGTTTCCGCTCCCGCTGTTCTTTTGTCATGCGCCTCTGGCTTCGGTCCCGGTCCCGGTCATGCTGGCGTCTTCTTTCGAGGGCTTCTGTGGTCAATATTGGTTGTCGTCTTTTAGGGGCATCGGCCTGAAGTTCAGCCTGAAATTCAGCCTCAGGTTCAGCCTTAGCTCTTGATTTAACCCGAGGTTTAGCCTTAGGTTTCGCCTTGGGACGTTTAGCCGCCTTAGGACGTCTAGTCTTAGGACGCTTCGCCTTAGAGGGTTTAGCCGAAGGTTCAGACGCAGAAGGGTCGGTCGAAGGTTCAGCCGTGGGAGGTTCAGCCACATAAAGTTCTACTATAGGTGCCGCCAAAAGAAGTTCAGACATAAAATGATCATCCGGATATTCGGGCGAAGGAGATTCAGGCGAAGGGGGTTCGGTCTTCGGGAGTAAAGCCGAATGAAGTTCAACCTCGCAAGGAGGTTCAGCCATGGGAAGTTCATCCTCGGACGTCGGATCACAGCCATCAGAAACCTTAAACACAAAACGACAAAAATGCTTCATGTTTACTTTGTTGAAACGCAGGTCTCTCATGATAATACTGTAGATCAGTTCACGGTAACGACTGGGCTTTAGAAACGGTTAACGCAGGAATTTAGGGTACAGTAAATACTGGGCTTTGGCTACGGTAACTACTTAAGGAAGTTGCCAGGACATTTATCTTTCAGTGTATTCTAAAAAGTACTACAGAACGAAGGAATGGAAGATAAAATCCTCCCGCACTGCCCATCCCAATCTTACCGAGGTGTGTTCCTGAGTGCACGCGGGCAATTCCTTCCCGCCGTTTTGCTCCAGCGTAGGACCTCTATTCGGCAATTCTTTTTGCAGTCGTTCTTTTTCTGAGAGCAGTTGTTCTTGGTCCAGCAGCTCTTCTTCAGAATCCTAAAAAAAAAAATTGACAAATTGACAAAAAGTTATGCCTGACCGTAATTTTTTTAAAAAGCTATTTTTTGAGTACAAGCTACATAAGAGAAGAAAAGCTGAACTTACAAGTGAATCGGGCTCATCTACAAGCACCCTGGTAACAGCCAAAGTAGGGGTACCCATGGCCGACATACGCTCAACAAGAACAAGTCTAGTCGCCACACTTGTTCCCCCGGCTTCCACCATTTCAGTCTTTATTTCTGTCTCCACTTTTGGCTCAGCTTCTGTCTCCACATTTGGCTCAGCTTCTGTATTCACTTCTGCACCCTTGAGTCTTACACGGCGCATCTGAGCTATCCGCCGTTTCGAAACCAGCTGCTCTGGAATGAGGCTTTTTCTGGCTCGAAGGCGACGACTTATGTCTGACTGACATTTCTTTTCCGGCTGTTCCTCATTGAGCATTTGGGGGCTCTTAGAATTGCACTTCTCTGCAGGCAGTATTGTTTCCCTTAGAGTTGATGCTTCGGGATTTTCTTTGTTGACATCCTGAAACACAAAATGCAAATATTACAAATTTAAAATTGGGCTAGTTTCATCACAAAAGTTTTATTAACACTTTAAAATTGTTAAGTTAGTTTTGATAAAGAAAGTTCATATATAAGGTAAAAGATTGTAAATTCACTTTGTTCAATATTTTCACCAGGATTTGACTGCCAATTTCTATTTTGTCTGTATTTGTTGCACTTTGTTTAATAATTTCCTGCAAACTATCAAGTGAGTTGAGCACATATATTAAGACCATAAATACCCATTTCTTGAATAAATCATTGAAAGAAGCTGATTGTAATGATTGGACTTGAAGTGGAAATATCTTGCAGTCCTTTTGACAAGGATATGTGTTTCAAATATTTCAGAGGGCCCTTCCTGTTCACTCCAGCTCTGCTTGGAACCAATGGTTTTACGTGTCCCCACTTGGGCGGGTACCCTCAGCCACCCTGGTGCTGAACCTGACCATAACACTTCCATGAGAGAATATCATGAGAGTGCTCTCATAGTAGCACGATGGGATATAATGGCAGCGCAATTTCGTCGTCAGGAACAAGAAACAGCAGATGCTTTAATGACAAAACTTGACTTTCAGAGGTTAAGAGGGGGAAAAGGAAGAATGCTTTGACATGACCATAGGAATTAATTTGGGGAAAAATTGTGTTGAAATGCATTATTCCTTATTTAAATAGTCTAAAAACAACCCTTCCGTACAATTCTATACCGGCGAAGTTAGGAGACGCAGTGAACAGTACACTGGTGTACTTACGCTGGTCTGGCCAGGACAAGCGGCGACTGGCGCCCAAAGGCGCGAGACTTCCTGCGCAAGCCCTGAACCTCCTGGCTCAGAAAGTATGGCTTCCGTATTGGCATCTTCCATTGTTCCCGACCCGATTAACTCCCTTCACATTAGCCATAAAACTCATTGACGATGCGAATTATTATTTTAACGTAAACAAAGAGCGGCCATCTTTTTCTTTTGATGGACTGCAGTTTTTGATGAGAAACTACGCGGTCAGCTTCCAGACAGCAATGTATGAGAAACTCCAAAGAACGGTTTCGTTTCCCTCGTGAATGCTGAAGTACAAGTTACTGTTCAAGTTTATCACCGCGGCACCTCGAAGGGCACAAAGGAGAGGACCTCCGAAATGGCACCCTCGTAGCCACCACCAACACCAAACGACGCTGCTCGGTGTGGGAGGCGAGCTGCAAACATGCCCCCCCCCCCCTCCCCGAAACGCCTTGAGGCGCCAAATCTCAAATTCGATGCAACAGCCCAGGGCACTCCCAAAGCAAAGTCATAGTTTCAGCCAAAATGCATCAATGAGGGATAGCAAGAAAAAGACAAAAGAACTGTTCAGGATTGCATACAATTTATTAATGCAAGAGATAAATAACATTTATCTCTGTTAATACTGAGTATTGTATGTGTTGTACCTACAAAAGTTTACATTTAATCAAATCATAAAACTAATAGAAAAAATTGCTAATCGCAAGTATACAAAGATAAGACTGTCAGTGTGATAAGTGTGTGCCGATAGGCAAAGAAATTAGAATAAAGGTACATTTCAAAGAAGTCAATTAATCAGATTGAAGAGAAGCAATAATTAAAAGAAAAACAACATATTAATAGATTCATTGGTATAAAAATAAAACTGAGGCAAACACTGCCCAAATCCATGCATCTACATGGCATCACAATTAATTGATCTCTGATAAAAAATAAGATACAAAAATACATAAACTAGGATAGTTCTTAGGCATCTTAGAAAGCACTGCTACCACTAAATCCTGAGTCAGTACTGTTTGTTTCAGTAGTTGTATGCGAACTTAAGCTGATAGCATCTTGAGAATCAGAACATTCACTTGTGGAATCAATATCAGAAAGATGAATAGATGGAGCATCATCAAGTTCAGCATCAACTTCGTCTTTCAGTTTAGAACTGAACAAAGCATTTCGATCACACAGAACATCAAGTTCTTCTTCTGAATAAACTGTAACCAAAGATTTCAATTAAAATTAACCACAAGCAAAGAAAACTGAGCAGACAAAAAAAAGGAACACAGGCAACTCTAGTCACAATGCTAGAGATCTTACTGTACTGACCTAAACCATTTTTGAAGACAGCTTCAGTTTTATCTTTGGGTTGAAGTAGGTTCCTGAGTTCATCCAAACTTACTACGTCATTTTTCTTGATATTCTTAAATTTTCCTAAAAAAGGAGAAAATAGAAGATTTGCATGATACAACAGCACAGTAAAAGAACCTCAACTTTGAATTAAAATTTACAGGGTTCCTCACCATGTTGAATTACAACTTTATCCAGCTGTTTCTTTTTCTCAGCACAATTAACAAGGTGTTCATCCATAGTCCCTCGAACCACAAACCGATAAACAGCAACAGGTTTGGTTTGTCCAATTCGATGGCAACGATCCTGAGCTTGTAAATCACATTGTGGATTCTGAAACACAAAATAAATATCAAATTAGATATGCTTCATCACATATATGTCTTCTTGTAATTTAGACACAAGATAAGATAACTTACCCAATCACTATCATAAATTATAACAGTATCAGCAGCAACTAAATTTATTCCAAGCCCACCAGCTCGAGTGGATATCAGGAAACCAAATACATCATCCTCAGAATTGAATTTCTTGATACTCTCCTGTCGATCAGCTAGGTCACATGATCCATCTAGTCTTGTATATTGATAATCCTTCATGATAAAATAATCCTCTATAATGTCAAGCATTATTTTAAAATTGGAGAAGATCAGGACCTGAAAGTGGGAAGTGGTATTAGGTCTATTCTATACATTATACTATGACTAAATAGCTAGTGAAAATTACAGCCAAATTACCTTGTGGCCATTCCTTTTGAGGCGGGTTAGCATAGCATCTAATATCTGTAACTTCCCAGATCGATGAATAATATTTTCATCAATTTTCAACATGCGAGTTCCAGGAATAACTGGAAAACTCGCAAGATATGGGTGATTGCAAATCTGCCTCAATGCTGAAACTGGGTTTCTTATTCTAACTTCAGTGATAAATTCTTCATCTGGCCCAGCAAGGCCTTCCAGAAGTTTATCACAGCTCTCCTCAGGACCCCAGCTAAAAAAGAAATAAGGAAATTTACATAATCCAGAAAGTTGTATGTTAACAAACTACAAGAGATCCATATGTTTGAATGATTACCTATCCTCATGGCAAAACAGAGGTCCATCCCTGAAAGTACTTAGAGGGATTCCACGAGCCAGCAATTTGTAGTCTCCAGAGTTGACAGGGACAGCCGTCCTCCTCGTTGAACGTCTGAGAGTGTTAAGGCTATCATTTTCAGTTACTTCTTGCTCAAGATCGGAAGATTCGAATTTAGCACTGCGACGGGCTGCTTTCTCCAGGGCATAAGGGTCCTCCCAAGCTTCTTTCCTCCCCTGCCAAGATAAAAAGGTTTGAATAAAGTTAGGAGAGAGTAAACCACTGCAGCATTAACACACTAGAAAGATACACACCATTAATTTGTATATGGTTTTCTCCACAATTGCAGAGTACAAACGGTTTTGCCAGTCGGTCATCTGGGCATAAATGATGATTTCCTTCTTAGGAGGGAGATTGAGACCAACGTCTGCCTTGACACGGCGAAGCAGGAATGGCTTCAAGATCTGTAATAAGGATAATTTAAAGTTGCTGGTCTAAAGACTCATTTATTCTTTCTTAAGAAATCCTACTTGGTACAAACCTTATGCAGAGTTGTAACAACTTTATCCTTTGCCTCAGCCTCAACAATTTTCTCATTGGCATCAGATGCTTGCAAAAATGAAGCATCAAACCAACATTCAAACACATCAATGTCATTGACAATATTAGGAAGAATGAAATTTAACAAAGACCAAAGTTCTGTCATATTGTTTTGCAGGGGAGTTCCCGTTAAGAGAAGACGATTAGTGGTATTAAACCTTCTTAACTCACTGCAAGAAATAAATTATTTAGTGACCAAATTGATGCACATAGGAACACCTACCACTACAAGTGACAAAACTTACTTGACAAGGAGACATTTATGATTTTTCAAGCGATGTCCTTCATCAACTATAAGGTACCTCCAATTAATTTTGCGAAGAGATTTATCTCTGAGAGGAGTTTCATAAGAAGTGATGATAACTGGATATGTGTCTGCCTTGCCAACAGTGCTCTTCTTCAAAATACCACCTTTCAAAAGATTTCTTTGTTGTTGGTTACCATGATACAGTAGCACTGGGATCTAAAAAGAAAAATGCAGAGATAAATAAAAATTCAAATCCAAAGAAGTTCCAAAATGGATTAAAGAATACCTTTGGAGCAAAGTTTTGAAATTCAGCAACCCAGTTATGAAGAGTTGATAATGGTCCAATGACAAGAAATGGAGCCTCTCCACCAACTCCCATTTCCACCAGGAAGCATATCAATGCAATGACCTGCACAGTTTTTCCTAGTCCCATTTCATCAGCTAGAATTCCATTAGCTCCATTCAAGTCTAATGCCTGCAAAATCACATTCCAATAAAAAAGTTATAAAGTTATTCAGTTTGCACTCAAACATGCCTTCACATCTAAAACTGTCCAATTAGATTGAAATATACGGGACGGGCCAAAAACTTACCACCAACCATTCAAGACCGTCAAGCTGATAGTCACGCATAATGGCACCTTCCAAAAGTTTAGGCTGCCGAATGGATACCTCAAGGTTCTGTGCATTAATGTATGTGGTACCACCAGACGGAACAGATTCCTCATTACTTCTTGGCTGTTTGCTCTGAAACCGAAGATGATCCAAACCATAAGCCTTGTAGGACTAAAAGATAACATTGCATCTATGAAGCCCATATGATGAAATCCATACCTTCACTGATGGAGCGTTGTTAGCTTTCCTTTTCCTGCCACGAGCCGAACCTTTGGAAGACCTTTCGTCGCTGAAAAGCACAGGCACGAAAACATCAATTTCTGGTACAAGCACTGAAGCAAGATATTAAGAAACTTTTATGCACCTTTTGGGAAGCTGCTTTTGAAGGTTTTCATTCTGCTCCATCCTCTTTACAAGCAGCTGAGTGAACTCTTCACTGACAGACAATGCATGCATGGTTCGCTGAATAATACTTTCACGATACTCTTCATCGCTCATGTTCTAAGAAATAAAGGATACAACAAAAATGTAATGACATTCAGACGGCAATAGATTAAATGCTTATTTGATAAAATACATACCCTCTTACTCCGTGGCAAGCTGCTGTGAGAAGCCATTTCCTTTGATATACTGAAGGTGGGATCATCATCTACAAAACGTAACAAAATTGAAATGACAGCAAATAAACCGTGATGCAAACTGCTAGAGCCAACAGAAAAGAAAATATTAAAGCCACGAGATCTCCTAACCTTTCCCCATCTTCACTGGACAATCGGTCGAGCTGTTTCAACAAGAAGATTGAGTTGATACGCAGCCAATCTTAGAGATTCGTTGAGGCTACAGGTGTGGCGCACTAGAATAATTGGCTACTACAAAATATTAAATAGATTAGACATCAATTCAAACGGAAAACCGGCTCCAAATGACAGAACTGAACTCAACTGACTCTGTTCCCGCCGGAGACTCCCGCGCTCTGCCGCTGATTGGTCGAGAAGGCACGGAGTGCACCAACTGCTCTTTTCGACACTCTTTAAAGTGCACGTTTAAATTAGAAGCGTTCAAACACGAATTGTTCAAAAAAAATATTTTTAAAAGTGCTTCTTTAATTTTTTAAGTCAAGTAAGGTCAGCAATAACAAATGCATCAATTCGTCTTCGGTATCAGTCGGTGTTTGAGTTCAGAGTGTTGGTCATTTCTGTTGAGCAGCAGACGATGACAGCAAACTTCCTTCCGCCCTGCAGTCACAACAAACATTACTCTAAATTTGAAACTTGGTTTGGACACCTAAGCCTGAGATTTAGAAATTCTGCCTCATATGTTTTTTTGTTCAGAAAAGTATCTAATCTAACTGTTCGTCCTTTTTTTTTCCTTAAGCGTGTAGCGCGCGGTAACCTGAATTCAAACTTAGCGCGGTTATGTCTTTGTCGTCCGCCGCTAGAGAGCGCTTCTGCACGTCTGCTGAAATTCTCCATCTTGTGCATTTCCTCTTTACCTCGCTCATCAACGTTGTTTCGTATTTCTTCGTTGTACAAATTGGCTGATTAAGTTAGTTAAATTCTCTCTAGAGGTTCACAATGGGCCATTCTCGGTCTAGGAGTAAATCCCCCCGCAGCAAATCTCCTTCGCGGAGACACAAAAGCAAGCATTCGAGAAAGAGGTCCAAATCACGGGACAGAGTGAAAACATCACATAGTAAACACTCAAGGAAATCTAGAGAAAGAAGTGCCAAGCCAAGGTAAATCTCATTTTCTCTCGCCAGCATTTTCTTTGTCAGCATTTCGTACTTAAATTATTTTGAGGGAATTATTTAAATTTGGTTAAATTTCCCTGCAATTAAACTGAAACTTTGTCATCGTTCTTGCTCTTTAATCATGGTTATTGGGCAGTGTTAAACGGCTTATTTTGCACTGCAGTCTGACCTTTCGACTATAATTTACTCTATTCTTTGTGTAACACATGGTTTTATTCGTTTTTTTTGTTTGTTTTTCAGCCACAAACATGCACGGTCTGGGTCTTCATCAAGTAGTTCATCATCTTCAGATGAATTCAAAATGCACACAAAGAAACGCAAGATGGATGAGGTTGAACGATTGGCAGAAATGGAAAGGCAAAGGTTTGTACACAATCTTTCGCATTGAAATTCTGCTCTAATACTCTGTTTTGAATAGAAAAATTGTATATACATCTTAGAAATTCTTTGATTGTCTCTCACAGGCGGCAGCGGGAGATGGAGCAACGCCTAGTTGAAGAAGAGACTGCAAAACGTATAGAGGAAATGGTTAAAAAACGTGTAGAAGAAGAATTAGAAAAAAGGAAAGAGGAAATAGAGCAAGAAGTTTTAAGAAGAATAGAGGAGGCCAAACGAGAAATGGAGAAGGAGATGATGGAGGAGATGGAGAGACGTCGCCAGGTGCTACTAGAAGAGGAAAAGAAAAGACAGGTAAGAACAGGTCTTTGTCTCTTCGTCAAAACAACTGACTTCTACCTTACAGATAATCGAGTATCTCCAGAGCCGAAATTGTATTATGAAGTTCATTGACCCTTCCCATAGGCGCCAGCAGTTCGTTTTTTGTTTTCAAAGAACTTCTAGTTTCCTATCAGTGCTTTGTCTGACTTCTTTCACTGAGTGATTTATGTTACTGCTTGTGTGTGTGAAAAGCAAAGTGACACCCATTTTAAACATACTGCTCTTATGCATGCATTTTCACTTTGCTTTTGACATTTAAAAATATATATCTGTACAGTTGTCTTTTTTTGTTGCTGTTTTTTTTTAAATATTTTTTTTTAAATCAATTTAAATGTTTGCCGTATATCTTGGACAATCCTTTCCCCAGTAATGTTTTTGATACATACACTTTTATTTGTTTCATTTTCATCTTCATAGTTATAGAACCACCTAAGTTTGGCCTCAGTACAGTATCCAAGTGTAGACATCTACCTAACGTTTTTTGTGCTGTATCATCTTTTTATGGTGCAAGTTGTTCTTTTTTTTCACACCATCATTGATATTATTCAAAAAATATAATGTTGTCCATCCTAATATTGCAAAATGGTGCATATAATGCTCTGTTGTGAGACTGTCTCATTTTATTTACGTATAATATAATCCCAAATTCGAGCGTAGGTCTCGTATTCGGATGATGGATGTGTGCTGATAAATGTTAGTTGTGAATGATGCTGCACATGAAATTTGGTTCACATTATGCGCAGCTTTTCACACTGTCATTTTCACTGCAAAGTAGTGCATTTACATGTGCCATGAAACACAGTGTCACATGGTAAAGAGACTTATTTCAATTCCTCTCTGTAATGTAGTCTTCTCATTCTGGAGAGATTTGTGTTACCTAATTTTCTTTCTGACAATTTTGCTATAACTGATTCTTTTTTATCCGTAAGTCCTGAAACGTGATAGACAGAAAGAATCCTGTGCATTGTAGCTTAATAAGTGTGTACTTCAAACATTGAGCCAGCTAAGTTTTAATTAACTTGCAATTAAATTTATGAGGGTGTCAGTATGTTTTATTCTTATAATTTACGAAAAACTACAAAACACCATAAATTAATGGTCTTTTTACAGCAGTCAAGACCCCTCTTTTAAAGTTGAAGAAAATAAAAGTGCCACTTTTCTTCGATTCAGTTTCCTCCTTAACATTCTGTATTGACCCCTCACCCTTTCTTGTCAAGATACGGGATACAACTTTTTTGCATGCATGCATTGGAGCATGCGCTCACTGGTTTGCGGAACTCAGGGAACACAACAAGCAGATTGAAGGCTTAGTTCGGCTAAAGTGCTTTGCAGCAGAGTCTTACAGCTGAGGAAGACTGAGGACTTAAAGCAGCCAGACATGCTGCGGGTTTGGTGGTCCTCGTCTGCACCATCAAGGTATTATATCCTAGTTTTATTGCAACCCTTCCATAATGTTCTCTGATTATAGTTGTTTTGTCCCATGATTCCCCTTGCAGGCAGGTTGCTTGTGGCTTTTAGTGTCAGCCACGTGAAGTTTACGCTGACTCTTGTGGTAAGTAGTTGCTGGCCCGTCTTCCACACAGATACTCAGTATTTTCTTTTGTTTTTCCCCTCTGTAAATGGGTCATATAGGTGGGAATTTCCTGTGTACTCCTTGCTTACACACCATGAACATACTTCTTTGTAAATTGCTTGTCATACAAGACCAAGTATCAAGTTTTCCCATAGCAAGCAGTTAATCTGGGAAGTTCTTGTTTTCTCTGGACATCCAACCACTATGATTTTAAATAGAATATGGATACAATAGCTTTGTGAGAATTGGCCTTGTAAATGTGTCTATGTAAGTGTTTAGCTCTTGCTCAGAATTAGGTCCATTTACTTCTCATTAATGCACTCATTCTTAGTGAGTAATTAAAAAAGAAGTTGGGTAGAGTTTTTATTAACTAACCAATTTTAGAAAAAACTTTGTGGTGATTTTATTTTTTATTTACTCAGGGGAAGCTTTTTTATGGAAGTAATGTTACCTTACCTTCAAGAAATCCCGTTCATCATTTATGTTTTGCATATAGATCTGTAGATTTGTCACTAAAGCTCATAGTGTAGATTTTGCATCTGTCACTTCTAGCTTTTAACCAAAGCCTACTTGATCTCTCTACTTTGATGCACAGAACCACTTCACTTTGCTTCATGTGTAACACCACATACATGCCCATTCTCTTACACAAATGGAGTACATAGTATTGTAGTATCCAAGTCACAGACAATGCAGTGGGCTGGCAGCAGGCATCTTTTGACTTTTGTACCGCTGTACCAATGTGTATCTGAATTGTATTTTTAAATTACCCTTCCTTAAAAAGATTTCATTGTTTTCATTTTAAATTTATTATTAATCGTTGAAGGAAAGCTTCTTGCTGCATTTGCTCTCCAATATGCCAGTTATTGATTTCTTTTTATCTTACAAGTAATTTTTTTCCCTCCTGTGGGTGTAAGATGAGCCACTGTGTCACAACTGGGGCTGTAGATATGTTTTTCTAACTGCTACCAACACTGCATTTGTAGGTTTTACAATTCAAGTGCAAATAAAAATTGACATAAATCAAAAATTGATTATTGAAATATTTGTTGATTTGTTCTTAGTTGTGTTCTGTATTTCTAGTCAGCTACTTGATTGTTTCCTCATTTGCATGTGTGTTAGTTTGTGAGGAAAAACAAACATGATTTCAAAAGACATTCATGATTGTGAGAAATCCATCAGTTTGATGTGTAGCATGTCTCTCATGATACATATTTATGTGTGTGCTGGGACAAAATACATCATTTTCTGAGTGTCGTTCTAGAATCAAATATCACTATAGCCTTAATTTATGTGACCTTCCCAAGCTTTCATGTTTCTTTCTTTTATTTCTTTTCTCATTTTTTTCTTAATCTCCCTTGCCTTTAATTAAAAATTTGTTTTCAAAATATTTGACTACTTTATACATTTGTAGTTTCTGGCATGACACCAGAAAGCAGTTGCTTGTAGGGCAAGGGCAATTGTGGCAATTATTTAGGGGGAAGTACAGTGTTGTGCATATGGGCCCCCTAGCCTGCTTATAATCCCCTGCTTCTTATACATTTCATAACACACATTTATTTACTGGGCTATTTGGTGTTAAAGCGCGTTAAATGGTCTTTCTTATTTCCCTATCTTGTCATAATCCACGTGCAACTTTGTTCTTTTGCCTTGAAGGTGTAAGAAGGATTCATGTGAGACACTTTCTAGGCAGAAGAGCCATGGGTAGGACAGTATTATAGTTTATTTTTATTATTATATCAAAGGGGTGTTGGTGTGGTTATCTTGTTCCAGCAGAAGAGCACATGGGTACAGCGACGCAAAATCAACGATGCCTGCCGACCTGTTCTCCCTTTTTTCTGGACCCTTACTCTTGTGTGGCGATTTCTATAGGTTTACCGCACTTGACAACTGCTTTGTTTCTTGTGATATACAAAAGCATTGCAGCTGAATAAATTTCCCCCGCAGGGATAATGGGAAATGGTGCTTCTTTTTAGAGCTGTGCTAATTTTGCTTTGCTTTGTTTGTAGGAAGAGGAAGAAAAGAAACGAGAAGCCCTGGAGCAGATCATGGCAGAAAATAATCGGAAAATTGAAGAAGCACAACGAAAATTGGTGAGTTGTCTTGTTGTTTTGTTCCTTGGATCTATGTATTGTTTAGTTTATGCCTTTTGCCTTGACATTGATGTCTTGCTTTTCAGGCTGAAGAACGACTTGCAATGGTTGAAGAACAACGTAAAATTGAAGAAGAGAGGCAGCGATTACGCAAAGAGCAAGAGAGGCGGGTTAAGGAAGAGCAAAAGAAAATTCTTGGAAAGAACAATTCAAGACCTAAATTGTCCTTTTCTCTTAAACCTGCTGTCTCATGACAATGTTATATGTTAATTTATGACAAACTCTTATTACTTATAATTAATTTGTTGTTGGTTCAACTGCATGTCATTCCATTTCACTGTGGAAGTGATATGTGCAAGGAAGTTATGCTTGGAATGGGAAGTGGTGGTTTAACTGTCACTTTTGCACATTCAGTGATAATTCTGTAATACTAATAATGATTTATACAATGATGAACTTAATTATTATGATTGTAATCGAAATTTATAGGCCATTGTTTGTTACACTACTTAAAAATGTTGCTAATTTTGCTGTTTCTTATTTGTTTTGATTTTAAATGCTAATTAGGCAATATCCAACTCTTATGCACTGCTTTCTTTCTCACTGTGTTTCTGTGGAAGATTGTTTCTTCATGATTGAAAATGTGTTTTGAATCATATAATTATTATGATGCAACCATCAATCAACTTCCAAAGAGATGTTGCCAATCCTATTTTCTTGTAATTTTGCCAAGTTTTTTCTATATGACCCCTCACTTTTCTCAAATACTAATGATACCTGTGGACCACTTTCTATATTCATTTTTTATGTGTCTACCAAATTTACTCTACCAAAAGAAACTGTCCAACTGTCTTTAAGTAGTTTTGACTATTTTTGTTACACAATAAATAACCATTTTGGTGGAAATTTTATTCCTTTTTTTTTTCTTTAAGATTATTAAAGGCTTTAGATAGAACTGGTGTTTAGATTGTTCTTGCATTGGTTGCTAAAGAATTGTTTAAATGTATGCTTTGTTCTTTGTTTCTAAATATTATTTCATGATGTGCCAGGAAAATTTTTGGCTATCATTTTGATATGCTGAGAGAAACGTGATAGCTGTTATTTCAATGTTAAGTAAAACAATTTATTAATTGTACTCTTTCATATTTATTTCAGTGCAGTGATCATGATGCTGTGTCTCAGAGAGTCATGTTGTTTCAACTTAATCAACAAGGTTTTAAGAAATCTATCCATCTTTTCTTTGGTAGCCTTGAATTTTGTTCAATAACTGAGCAGAATCATGATATAGTTTATCTGTGTCTCAAGCAAACTTCCTGTAATCCCAATACAATTTTTTTGCAAAGAAAATTAATAAAAGAATGGAGGTATGACCAGTTTTGTCGCTTTTTATGTCCCTTTAGTGTGCAACAGAGTCTACGGCTGTCTCGTTAAAGTGACTTCTGTGGGGAGACTCACTGATAGAATGCATCAAAGTTGTATCATCTTTTATTCGTTTTCAATCATACATAATTAAACTATTCTCTTAAATCAGTCAGTCTGTATCTGGTTGGCTTTTTCAGCCGGATTCTATACATAAATCACAAATGTTTTCTTAACCGGAAGTAACGCCTGCTGGCTCCTGATCGGACGGCGCCCACGCCGGCTTGACTCTGTTGAGGTCTGCAAGGGGTGGCAGATGGTCAGTTCAGTCCAGTGCAACACCGGGCAGAGCGATTCCGAGCGATGTTTTCGTCGCGATGTGAGTCTTGCAGCCCTACGGGACGGTCCATGAGAGCAAGAGAGACAGAGCGACAAAGACGGGACGGTCCATCATGAGAGCAAGAGAGACAGAGTGACAAAGAAAGTTCAGACTAACGGTCTCGGCCGAAACGCACCTGACGCCAAGGCCCCCAAGGCTGTCACCGTCGTCACCACCACCACCAGACGAGCGCCGGCGGCCCGTGCCGCCACTTGTACACCAGGACCACGGAGACGGCCGTCACCACCAGGATGCTGGAGACGGTGTAGGACGGCATGCAGTCCTTCTTCTCCACGATCACGTCGGCGGGCACGATGGCGTCCGTCTCGTTCAGCTGGTGCCCAGAGTGGTTGGAGAGAGAGAGAAAGACGAGCGATTCAAAGAGTCATTTCGCCGCTCTGTCGGGGTGTTCCGCAGGGTGCGAGAGAGACAGAGGCAAGGCCACCCACCTTGTTGGTGAACTGGTGCAGGAAGCGCACCTCGCTGCACAGCAGGTCGGCCTGCCGCAGCGCCCTGGCGCTGAGCGCGGCCAGCCCGTTGGTGCCGCTGTGCCGCTGGTCCAAGGGGAGGTCCACTGGGCGGCCCTGCAGCCGCAGCCGCACGTACGACACACTGGCGAAGAGCACGGACAGGTGGCGGACCGTGCTGGCCAGCACCACCAGCGCGTCCTGCAGGCTGCAACGCAGGCAACGCAACGCCGGACTCATTCCGAGAGTCGTTTTCGTCGCTCTGTCTCTCTCGCGCCCACAAGGGACGCCCCACGAGTGCGAGAGAGACGGAGCGACGAAAACGACTCTCGGAATCAGTCTGCAGCAGCACTGTCAGTGAGGTCCAGGGTCTCCGAAGCGGGGTCGTCGTTTGCGCGCGAAAAACAGAATGGAATTCCCTCCCCCCGGAAAGTGCAAGTGGAGCGGTTGGCTCCGCGAGGGCGGCGGCAGGCGGAGCGCAGTCGGGTGTCGCGTGGGAGGGGGCGGTCTGGGGGCAGCCTGTGTTCCACGTGTTCCACTCACCTGTAAGTCTCGTTTCGGGGGCAATGCGTGATCGGCGCGATCGTTCGCTTTTTGTCTTTGCCCGCCAGGTGGCGCTCGCGGCGCCGGCGGACGGCGCGAATCATGTTCCTGGCATTGAGGGACAGGTGGATGCCGTTCTCGGACACGTCGAAGCAGCCGTTGCCCACGACGTCCCCGCCGAACGGCGACCGGGACCGGGATCGGGATCGGGACGGGGAGCGGGAGCACATGGGGGAGGGGGAGGGGGAGGTGAGGAAGAGCGGAGGGGAGAGGTCGGCATGCTGGGGCAAGGCCATGCCGTTCAACAAAATCGCCAATTCCGCCTCACAGCCACCGTGGCGGCCATGCCTTGGAGAACACACGGAAAGAGTGTCAGTCGCACAGACCCTCGCCAAGCTAGCTACTTTCAAAAGAGGGAAAACAGTCCGAAAGAAGTGTCGGAAAAAATAGAATTAGTATCCGGGACCTGTGGGAGTGGAATGCAAAATTGGTTGGATGCGTCCGCCGTGTCAAGTTTTCCGACACAGTCGTAGATGCAAGTTGAAAAAGGTGTGTTTGGTATACGCTTCTTTGTTTCCGCTGCCGCCATGCGACGCGGTGCCGCGGTGCGGCGCACAGTGGGCCAGAAGCCGGTGGGCAGGGAGGCGAGCGAGGCGCTGAGCGCGGGGTCCGCGTAGTTGACGGAGGGGTCGAGCAGCGGGTCCAGCGAGCTGTCCGGAGGCTCGCGGCTCAGGTGCTGCGTGCTCAGGATGGAGGCGATCTGGAGCCGCGGTCAAGGGACGTGGGTCAGTGGCGAGAGAGGCGGAGCTACAAAGCGCTGCACAGTGGGCCAGAAGACCGGCGGAGGCGGCAAAAACTCTAGACGCGTTTTGAGCTCCAGAGTCGCTAAATGGGACTCGAAACGAACGTGTGACCCCACCAATGGATTCCTCGTTCGGAGAGCAATCGATTGGTGGGGTCACACGTTCGGTTCGAGTCCCTTTTAGCGACTCTGGAGCTCAAAACGCGTCTAGGGTTTTGGCCGCCTCGACCGGTCTTCTGGCCCACTGTGCGCTGTGCGGAACGCGCCTTGGTGTGTCGGCACGGTGCAGAGGGGCGGTGACTCACCTCAGACAGGCCCTTGCTCACTGCCAAGTCGAATGCCGTCTGACCCCGGCGGTCCTTGATGTGCACCTTGGCACCGGCCTGCACCAGGGTGGCCACCACCTGCGTCCTGCCCTGGTTCACCGCCCAGAACAGCGCCTGCGAACAGCAAACGGAAACGTCCTTGCAGTTCCAAAACCACGAGACTTTAAAGTGCGGAGCGTGGAGAGAATTTTGCGAATTTCGGCACCACTCCGCTGGCCGCCACGTTGCACAGTGGGCCAGAAGACCGGCGGAGGCGGCCAAAATTCAAGACGCGTTTTGGGCTCCAGAGTCGCTAAACAGGCCTCGACTCGAACCGAACGTGTGACCCCCACCAACGGATTGCTCTCCGAACGAGGAATCCATCGGTCACACATTCGGTTCGAGTCCCATGTAGCGACTCTGGACCTCATAACGCGTCTAGAGTTTTGGCCGCCTGCGCCGGTCTTCTGGCAAATCCACTGTGCGTTGCCCTCGGCGTTGCCTCACCGTCCAGCCCTGGCTGTCCTGCAGGTTGAGGTTGCAGCCCTGGCGATGCGACAGCCGCCGCACCAGCTTCTCGTGGCCCTCCTTGGCGGCGAACATGAGCGCGGAGATGCGGTGGCGCTCCACGGCGTTCACGTCCACGTTGTAGGCCAGCAGCAGGTCCACGCAGCGGAGCAGCTTCTCCTCGTTCTCGCGCGACGACGCGCACGCCGCCATCAAGGGCGTGAACAGCTCTGCGAGCAGAAACCACGCTCTGTCTCGGTGTCTCTCTCGCACCCCAACGGAAGGCCGCACGAGTGCAGCAGAGAAGGAGCGACGAAAGTGGGCCAGAAGACCGGTGGAGGCGGCAAGAATTCTAGAAAGGGACGCGGTTTGAGCTCCAGAGTCGCTAAACGGGACTAGAACCGAACGTGTGACCCCACCAATGGATTCCTCGTTCGAAGAGCAATCGATTGGTGGGGTCGCACGTTCCGTTCGAGTCCCATTCAGCGACTCTGGAGCTCAAAACGCGTCTCGAATTTTGGCCGCCTCCGCCGGTCTTCTGGCCCACTGTGCGCCGCGGCGGCTCGGCGGCGGCGTACCTTTGTGGAAGTTGGGGTTGCCGCCCTCGCCGAGGAGGACGTCGACCAGGTCCGGGTGCCCCATGGAGCAGGCGTACATGAGCGGCGACCAGCCGCCCTGGAGAGTTTGGTTCACGGACACACCTGGCCGACAGCACACCGTGAGAGCGTCAGCGCGTTGCACGGACACCGCAGCATCGCAGCAAAGGGAGGGACTTTTGATTGGGCGTCAGCAAAATAGAAAAGCGGTAACAAAAGTGAATGCATGGAAAACTTCTCTTAAAGTATTTTAAGGGCGGCACAGCGATTTCGCCGAAATTGGAATTGGTGGTTCGGAACAAGCAGCCTCTGCGGAGGCAAAGGGCAGGGAGGACGCTGGATCAAACGAAGCGCCCCGTCGCCCCGTGGAACCGCACTCCCTCGGGTGGAACGGAGGCACCAATGCGGGCACGCCGCAAAAACAACAGTGTCGCTCCTTCTCTCTCTCTCGCACCCCTGCGGGATGCCCAAAAGTGCGAGAGAGACAGCGCTACGGTCGCCGAGCTCTGGAGCGCCTGGCGGGTAGGCCGCCCAGAGGCATCCGTGTCCGGCGGGCCGGCCTACCCGCCGTTGGTAAGGCGCTCCCGGCCGGCAGCCGTCTGATTCCGAACACTGCTTCGTCGCTCTGTCTCTCTCGCACCCCTACGGAACGCCCCATGAGTGCGAGAGAGACAGAGCGACGAAAGCAGTGCTCGGAATCAGACGGCAGCAGGACCGTTTCGTCACCCTGTCTCTCTCACATCATAACGGCGTCCCCGACGAGTGCGACAGAGACAGAGCGACGAGGCGATGCTTTGGAATCTGGTGGCCGTCCAACCAGTCCAGGCTGTTGCTGTCCGTTGGCGCCCCGCCCTGCCGGGGAGTGCGGTCCGATACGCACAGTGTGCCAGAAGACCGGCGCAGGCGGACAAAACTCACGCGTTTTGAGCTCCAGAGTCGCTAAAAGGGACTTGAACCGAACGTGTGACCCCACCAATGGATTCCTCGTACAAAGAGCAATCCATTGGCGGGGTCACACGTTCTGTTCGAGTCCTGTTTAGCGACTCTGGAGCTCAAAACGCGTCTAGAGTTTTGGCCGCGCGCCGGTCTTCTGGCACACTGTGCGACGCGGGATGGTACCGTGCTGGTACGTACCCTTTCTCAGAGCATTCCGGACGCCTTCTATGTTACCGCGGATGGTGGTGAGTCGCAGCTCCTCCAGGGCCTTGGTGGACTCGTCCTTGGCCGCCGGCCGGTCCCTACGCGTCAGTCTGTGGCTCAGCCCGTTGCCGATCTTCTTCTCGATGCCGTTTCCAACTCCATTTCCAGTTCCGTTTCCAATTCCGTTGCCAGTTCCGTTGCCGACTCCGTTTCCGATTCCGTTTCCGACTCCGTTAGCAACTCCGTTTCCAATCCCGTTGCCAGTTCCGTTTCCGACTCCGTTTCCAATTCCGTTGCCGACTCCGTTGCCAGTTCCGTTTCCGACTCCGCCGCTCTTCCCGTTGGCAATTCCATTCCCGTTGGAGACCACCGTCTGCATCGCCTGAAAATAAAAACACGTAATACAGTGACAGTGAAACAGTTGTCGCGTCTGTTTGAATCGATCTGGCGCGTTGGGCCACGGTCGAGCTGTCCGCCGCCCCGCCCCGCCCCGCCCCGCCCCGCCGTGCGGCACGCGCCCTCAAGTCTCGGCTGGCACCTCGTACCGCCTGATTAATCGCCCGGCCAGAAGGTGCTCCTTCTCTCTCGCACCCACACGCAACGCCCCGCGAGTGCGAGGGAGACATGCGCTTTGATCTGCCACCGCGGTTCGAGGTTCGATTCCCGGCGACTCCGGCGGCGGGTGTTTTTCTTTGCCGCCCCCCGCTGCACCGCCACTGGCGCGGCAGACGAGCGGCAGACGTAATGCCGGCTTGCGTCCGCGCCGTTTGACGCACCGGCCGTCCAAGTCTCCGCCGGGCCACCCCGCTCTGTCTCTCTCGCACCCCTGGAGCGCGCCGCGAGTGCGACGGAGACAGAGCGACGCCGCGACACTTCGGAATCGGCCGACCGCGTCTCGGGGCGAGCACAGCGCCGTAACTGGGCGGCGTTCCCGGGGCGGTTACGCGGCCGCAATGGCCGGCCGTGGTCTGGCCGCCCGCCAGGCCCGCCAGGCCCACCAGGCCCGCCAGGCGCTGCACAGTGGGCCAGAAGACCGGTGGAGGCGGCCAAAACTCTAGACGCGTTTTGAGCTCCAGAGTCGCTAAATGGGACTCGAACCGAACGTGTGACCCCACCAATGGATAGCTCTCCGAACGAGGAATCCATGGGTGGGGTCACACGTTCGGTTCGAGTCCCATTTAGCGACTCTGGAGCTCAAAACGCGTCTAGGGTTTTGGACGCCTCCACCGGCCTTCTGGCCCACTGTGCGCTGCTAGAGGCCAGTAGGTTGATTCCGAGCACCACTTTCGCCGCTGTCTCACTCGCACCCTTGCGGGACGCTCCATGAGTGCGAGAGGGACAGAACGACGAGGGCAGTTCTCGGAATCAGTCTGCGCAAGGCTGCTGCAGCGGGAGCGCCGCCTGCTGCCGTGGTACAGTGTACAGTCGCCGGCGTGCAGCCCGCGTCCCGCGTCGGCACTGTACAGTCCGCTCCGCCGCGACGCGCTGGGCCACTGGGCCACTGGGGCGCGCGTCCACCGCGGGCTGCGGGCTTCGGAAGACGGGCTTCGGGCCCCGGGATTCGGGCTTCGGGATTCATGTTTCGGGCTTGAAGCTTCGGGCCTTGGGATTCGGTATTCGGTATTCCGGGCTCCGGGCTCCGGGTTTAGGGTTCGGGATTCGGACTTCGGGCTTCGGGCTTCGGGCTTCGGGCTTCGGGCTTCGGGATTCGGACTCGTCGGGTCGCCGGCGGGAATCGGCCGAGCCTATGCCGATAAGCCCTTGGATCAGCCACCAAAGCCCCCCCCCCCCTGTGGATTTTTGCCTGTCTTTCAAGCGGCAATCTAGTGGGCAAAGGGACAGAAGGGCTATTGTCCTTTTGCCGGGCGCGATCACTCCACATCAGAGCCACCAGTTGAAATAGTTGAAACGTGTTGTCGTGGTCGTGATTGTTGTGTACATGCTCCTCGTACTCAACGTGCATTCCCCTCCGAAATCGGGGCAGCGATCCGTGGCTGTGTTGTTGGCTGCCCTGCTGGCGTACGCCGCGTGCGCCGCGTGCGCTGTGCGTGCGGAGTGCTTCACTTTCGAGTGTACACTGTCGGCGCTTCTTTAGGGTCGCATTATCGGCACAATTGCGCGTCCCATAACAACGGCGACGTGACGTGTCCTGTGTCCCGCTAAGAATACCGCGGCGTGGATCGGCCCAGCTGCGCGCTGTCGCGGTCCCCCTCGCACTCGTGGGGCGCGCCGCGGGGACCGCGAGGGGTGCGAGAGAGACGGAGGCACGGCGAGATAAAGCGCGAGGGTGTTGGCGAGGACCCACAGCCACCCCCGACCCGAGGCTCGGGCACTGGCAGCACTGGCGCTGGGAGGGCTAGACTGCCCCACTTGCTGTCACGCGCAGATTATAGCGTCACTGTTCGAAGTAGTCTTGGCGGCGATCTCGCACTGCTCGGCCTGCTCGGCCGTGAAGGCCGCCAAGGGTGCGCGAAAGTGCGGCAGCCGTGTTGCTTACACTGTATTTTTTGGGGGGTAGGGGGAGGTGTGCACCATAAACTTTAAAATCGACCGTCGAAGAAGAGGCTAAAAAAGAGCCGTGTTGCTCACACTGCTTTTTGTGGAGAGGAAGGGGGGAAGGTGCCCCCTGAACTTAAAAAAAAAATGACCATTGAAAAAGAAACCAATAGTGGTTGGATCCAGGACTGTCAATCTTAATTAATTCAGCAAGGAGTGGCATGTCACACCCAGCCGCCGATCAGCCCTGCCAGTAACCAACAGTTTGTCCACGTTCCTAAAAATTTATTTTTTAAAATTTAAAGAAGAAGGCCCAGCCGGTGTTTGAACCCAAGTCTGCCACCGCAAAGGGGATGGGGCAGACGCCGCACAGTGGGCCAGAAGACCGGTGGAGGCGGCCAAAACTCTAGACGGGTTTTGCGCTCCTGAGTCGCTAAATGGGACTCGAACCGAACGTGTGACCCCGGAAATGGATTGCTCTCCGAACGAGGAATCCATTGGTGGGGTCACACGTTCGGTTCGAGTACCGTTTAGCGACTCTGGAGCTCAAAACGCGTCTAGAGTTTTGGCCGCCTGCACCGGTCTTCTGGCCCACTGTGCGCCGCCGCGTGGCAGGGCAGCAGTGCAGGGCTGCAGGGCCAGGGCCGCGGGCAGCCAGAGGGTAATTGCGCGTTCGGGCCTGGCGGCCTGGCGGTCTCACGGTTCGGCGGCGCTTCCTGCCTCTGTTTCTCCGACGGCTCTGTCTCTCTCGCACCCTTACGGGGCGCCCCGTGAGTGCGACAGAGACAGAGCGACCAAACGGCCCTCCTGAACCGCTCGGCAGGTGCGCCACGGCGGCGCTGCAGCGCCACTGGTCTCTGTCTTCCCTTCCTCTGTCGTACCGCCGAGCGGTTCGGTCGCTCTGTCTCTCTCGCACCCCTTTGGAGCGCCCCGTGAGTGCGACAGAGACGGAGAGACTCTTCTGAATCGCTCGGCTGTCGTCCCTAGTCGTCCCTCGTCGCGTCAGTAGTTTATAACCGTCTCCCCCGCCCCTCCCTCCGGTCCCCACATGGGCCACATGGGCGCGTGCGCGTGGCGTGCGCATAGCGCGGCGTCGCATGACGCGAGCCAGCAGGTGAGACGGAGTCTGAGATCATGGATGAGATGGGCATGAACGAGCCCCCCTCCGATCTTACAAGCTGATTCCGAGAGTCGCTTTTCGTCGCGCTGTCTCTCTCGCACCCCTACGGAACGCCCCTGAGTGCGAGAGAGACATTGTCGGACCACTGCAAGGGGCGAACACTTGATGAACCTCCGGCCCGACTCCGTCGCTCTGTCTCCCTCGCACCCCTACGGAACGCCGCGTGAGTGCGAGAGAGACAGAGCGACGCTCCGTCCAGCGGAGCGCCTTATCTGCGGAGGTCGGCAACGCGCGCACGCGGCGGCCCGGCGGGACTGCCTACCGCCCATCATTACCATTGCCATTAAGGGCTAGACCACACATGATCGGCGGGCCGGGGGGCAGCGCGGCGCAGCACGCGGCGCGAGGCTTGTTTACGTTTTCGTTCGGTTACCGTTCTGGTTTCGTGAAAGCCCCTGGCCGGCAGAGACAGAGGCAGAACCAGGACGAACGAAACTTCGATCCCTTTGCCCTTCAGACTTCAGGCTTCAGGTCGGGGGTTGGGCAACACGTGTCCCGAGCGCTGCCAATGTAGTGACTACACTGCAGACTGATTCCGAGAGTCGTTTTCGTCGCTCTGTCTCTCTCGCACCTTTACGCGACGCCGCGTGAGCGTGAGAGAGACGACTCCCGATCAGTCAGCTGTAGTCTCGCAGCGCCAAGGCATGCCGCGTTGGGCGGCGCCCGAGAAACGAAGGCCGTCTTATAAACACCAGTAAATCATGCGGGTCACTAGTTCCGTCGCTGTCTCTGTCGCTCTCGTAGGGCGGCCCGTGGGGTGCGAGAGAGACAACGGTGCTGCAGGAGCGGCGTCAGCATCGGACTGTCAGTGCAGTCCCGACGTTGGAGGGTCGTTCCACAGTGCATCCCTCGAAACGTTTCCACAACACAAATGGGAGAGCGTCACGCTTCCGGGCCGATGCCGGCCGCCCGATGTCGAATGTCACTACAGTGGACTCACTTCATCCCCCTGGCCGCCCTGGCTCTGGCTGGACTCCATGTCCGCCGCGCTCCGCCGCGCTCCTAGCTGCGGCCGTCCGTCCTCTCGCCGCGCTTCGCCTCGCCGCGATCCACCTCGTCCCGTCCCGTCGGCCGCGGGGAAGAGGACGTCTGCGTCGTCTGCTGGCGCCGCCCGCGGGAGGACTGGCGTCCGCGGCGTCTGGCGTCTAGCGGCGGCGCAGTGTGGAGGGGGTTGTGTGTGAGCCGGCGCGGCGACCTCATATCAGCAGACTGATTCCGAGAGTCGATTTCGCTGCTCTGTCTCTCCGCACACCTACACGCGACGCCCCACAGTGGGCCAAAAGACCGGTGGAGGCGGCCAAAACTCTAGACGCGTTTTGAGCTCCAGAGTCGCTGAATGGGACTCGAACCGAACGTGTGACCCCCACCAATGGATTCCTCGTTCGGAGAGCAATCCGCCCGGTTCAAGTCCTGTTTAGCGACTCTGGAGCTCAAAACGCGTCCGGAGTTTTGGCCGCCGCCACCGGTCTTCTGGCCCACTGTGCGCCCCATGAGTGCGAGAGAGAGACTCTCGGAATCAGTCTGCAGCGCTCGACGTCTCCGTCGTCCCCTATTGGACGAGGCACCGTCGACGCCTCCCGCACTGCTAGGCGTTTTGCCGCGCACGGTCTTGAGCCGGCTCTCGACTATAAGGCCTTGCCTAAAATTAGGAGGCCATGCCGAGCTCTGGGGGTGTACAGCATGTGCTACGTCACGATGCGTCTAGCGCTGCTGTGGGTATGATCCTCGCCTACCAGAACGGGACAGCAAAGAAGCGCCAATAACATTTCTTATGTTGCTTCGATCGAACCAACTTCTTCAAAGAATTTTGTACAAAGTAGCAGAGGACACGATTGTCAGATTAAATACTCAGAAGTTTTCATTTGAAGATTTATTACTAACCAGACCATATCACACGAATAGAAAAGCACTCTTTCCAATTAATAATAAATTCAACTTGAAACACAAATCTTTTATCTTCCTTAATGAATAAAGCAATACATTATACATTCTGATTGATGTGCATACCATCAACCATGAATTAAAAGGGACAATACTTGGTGGAACAGTCAGTCTTGACAGAAGTACAGATGACAATGAAAGTTTATGGCACAAGAGAGCAGGTTAAACCAATGACAAATTGCGTTGCAAGGATAGTACCCAAGGGAATGTTTCCATGTAAAAATATCACATTTTTTAAAAAACATGATTCTGGTTATCATTACAGTAGTTACAATAATATGCACTGGAAAGAGAAAAAGTACTGAGCTATGCAGAAAATAAGCTGAGATATGAAGAGTAAAAATGAGTCCATATAATCCTAGTACCAAATGTTTGAATTTGCTTCAATCAGCAGGGGTTGTTAAAAATAATAATAACAATAATAATAATGAGCATTTCACTTATTTCACAGAGAGTACAAAGGCTACTTTGTTAAAAATCCACAGAAATATCACATACGACAGCAACAAATTACATTAAACTTTTATAAGGAAAAAACGACACTCCTTACGTAACAAACAACTCCATTTATGAACAAATTTTCACATCTTAAAAATTACAATAACACAATAAAAAATAGGACAATGATTTCAGATGCCTTCTTAAACTAGCAAAATATACATTCAGAAATAAAAACAATTCTGAAAGTCACAGTCTTACCAGAGCTGACATGTCTATGAAATTATAATGTCACTCATTCTTCTGTCTGAAGACTAAGACAGCAAAGTAAAATATACACATAATAGTCTAAAGACAAATCAGAAATGCTTCCAAGGTCGACTAGGACAAGGTGCAAACGACAAAAAATTATAATGGATAGGTAAATTAAAGTTGCATACCATACTGAACCACAGATAAAAATCTTTTTGCCTATCACAAAAAATATTTTCTCTCCCCATAAACTATACATACAGTATTTAGTTTCTCTTTTCATCATCTTATTGCCACTGTGAAAAAACAATATTATATTTTAAGAGTGCCAAGCTTCTCAACTAGATCAGCACCCAACTCTCTGCAGAAATAAACATGACGTGAATCATCTCTCTGGGATGACTGTAAACTAAGGGGATTGATCAATGGAAAACATGTGGATGTTTCCTGCCTATTATGTATGTTGAGCTCCGTCAGTTCTTTACTTGCTTCTTTGTTTGTGTTCCTCCCAGAAGATTCAATTGGTATGTTACCAACTTCACCCATTGTTCCTGATCTGGGAAGAGGCTGAGCTTCCGAAGCTGTTTCAACTTCAATAGATCTTGATGAAGAGGGAATGGAGCGCCTCAACTGAACAGAAAGCTAAACACACAGGAACATAACATAACTACGTCATAAAAGAGTCATAAGCCATAAGCATAATTCATTCTTTCTGATCCTTACCCTTTTAATCCCGTCAAGGGCTGCCCTCCCAGCAGCGGGAGTATTTGACGGCAATGTACGCTCAAGAGTGGCATGATAACGTTCCAAATGGGCATGAACGAGAGTGATGAGATGATGGAGATGTTCAAGCTCTGCCTTAGCTACCATAGGGTCCTAAATTGGTTATGAATGAATAGGGTTTTACAAAACAGAACGCCCAAGAAAGTCATCTTTATTTACTATGAGTAATGGTCCTCACTTACATGAAGGGTAAATCCTTCAACCACACTATTCATGCTGTCAGGCTTGTCCAGGCGAGCTGCTGACTTTTCAGGTGGACTGTGCACACTGGTTGGATAGGGCCGGGACACTGGAGTAGCATCTTTCTTCTGTGACCACAAGCTTAGCCTTTTAAACCTGAAAAATTAGTTTTATATCAAAGACACTGGTGATTTAATTAAAAGAAGGGAAATACAAGGAGTAAGAAAATGTTAACCCAACCTTGAGATGGTGCTTGGTTGAGAAGTCATCTTCTTTTGAATGACAGAAGATTCCATTGGTTCTTTTTGGGCAGTCCCCTGCATTAGGGATGCATACTTCTGTTGACAAAGTAAAAGGGTATAATGAATTACCAATATGTTACCATTACTGCATCCAACATTGAATATTGAAATACCTTTGGCTTCAACATGTGCAGAGCGTTTTCCACTATGGTTTTAACATCAATACCCGATGGATACCTCATAAGTAACATTAAACACTCAGTATCATCTTCCACAAGTACTAGAAAAGAAAGTGGGTTCCTCTCAAATTAGATAACTAGTATCACAGTATTTGAAAATGGAAATACTCAATAATTCTATGAACAAAAGAGTTCAAAATTCCATACTAACATTGATCTCGAATAGCTATCAGCATTGAAACAACAATATAATTGACAAGATCATCTCCTTCAGCAAAAACAGCATCCCATAGGTACATGAGATCATCCAGGGGAAACTCTTGAGCGAACATTAGTCTCAACCATCGTCTGCATAATAATTGAAAGAACATTTTAAAAACACTGGTACTCTAAAGAAACTGTTAGAAATGGTGAACATAAACTGAACTCACATGCCAAATGTTTGAAATGGGATATCAAGAATTTTTAGGTGTTGATGAAGTTCCTTGTCAAAACAAGCCAAAAGTTCACCTTTAATGTGGTTAAGTCTCATTGCTAACTCTGTTTCGGCTCCGACATGCTGTGGAAATGGAGAAAGAAATTACAATTTGTGTCAAAGTGGTAACAAATGTAACACATGATACAGGAAACTTACACTTGCATGACCATTAGACTTCCCTAAACTTGAAGGAAAGTGACCAGTTGTTAAGGGAGTAACATTTTTCACCCTATAGCTCCCAGCAAGATGCGTCATCAATTGAGAAAACAGCCAGCTGGTTAAAAAAAATGATATCATGGAAAATGAGTAAACTTTAAAACCGAAAAAACTCAGACAACCCAAACCTTCAATATTCATAGTAGCACAATAATTAACTTACTATGCATCTTCTTCCAGCCAAGCAGGGTCCAGGATCTCAGCAGCTTTTTCACTACAGAGGGAATCAGAATTATGAGAGAGATTGTGGCAAAGATAAAAGGCACTGTAAGTACAAGAAAAATGTATATACCTGACAGCTGCTGATTCCCGAGCACGAACAAGAAACTGTTGATCACTGTGCATCACATACAGCAGCGGAGCTAAAACTTCATGCATACCCTACAAAGAGAAACAGCGTTATTTTGTGTTGTTGTCTTATGTAACTTTACAGAATATACTTTTGAAACTCTACATGAAATTGTAGGAAATTTTTTGACAAACCTGTCGATAACAAATCTCTGCATGCTCTCGAGCGTAACAAAATAATATATTAACCATTGTTAATTGAATACTCTCAGAGCGGAAGAAATCCATTTTGGGAAATGTGCGTACAACATCTTGTCGAATCAAAGCTCTCAGTTCTTTATCACAGAAATACTGGTGCCACACACTCTGAAAGAATGTAGAAATAGAAGAGGTTCAGCTTATAACATTGCCACACCGCAAAACTGAACACACTTTCAAACACAAGGGAGCATTGGTATACTCACAACACAACTCTGTGACAGAGGGTTATCAACATCAACATTAACATTGTCTCGATGTGGATTGACAGTCAATCGCTGATGAAGAAGTCTGTATGAATTTCTTTGTTGGCGAAGTATGGAGATCCAGAGAGACGGAGTTGTAGGAAGGGACCCAAGCAATAACTGCCAATATATACTTCTCAGCCTGGACCCTTGAAGGCGCATCGACACGGCATGCTTTTTCAACTCGGGGAGACCCTTATCCGCAAGAATGCACAGCTCAGACCACTCATCACTGGAAAGAAGTGACGAGTTGAGCAACCAAATCAAAAAAGATCATCTCAAGAACACATACCTATACACATACCTATACTTTCTGGTCACATTATTAACATCAGAATTTTTTGTTTCTCGGAATCCCCATTTCCCAACATAACTGACAAGGCATCTCCTTCTTCATCTGACATTCGTGCAGACTAAGGAACCTCTATGTAGATAGTAAAGCTGAAAAATTAGAATAATAAACAGCTTAACAAAATGATTTTCAACGTATATTATGTGAAAGATAGAGACTGTTCAATTGTGAATAAATATTATAGAAGTATTTGTTCTAAACGTCTGAGATTAAATAACGAACAGAGAAAGAAAATATAGGGTAACTGACAGAAGAAAGGTTATAAGAACGCCATGGATCTGGCAGGCAAACGAGTACGAATGTCCTGTACCTTTGGCAGTTGGTTTCATGAACACATCATAGAACGAACGGGGTATCAATAAATGTTGTCAGTCGTGTCAAACGCTTGGAGGCGGCCAAACCAAAACAAGGCTGTTGACGTCGCAGAATACATGTGACGGACATCAACATCATCCCCCTTGCCTATTGGCAGACTGGTGTCGCCACTGCGGATAGTCCTCGCGGTATTCGCACGCGGACGGCTGGAGGGAAGCGCAGGGAAGTACGCAGTGGCAGTGCGCAGGCCACTGTAAACTGCGACTTCTGGACGCGGGGCACATTTCTCCCTCAAAACACACGTGCAAATGGAATCACATCCGAGAGAAAATTCAATCTGAAAAATAAAGGAACACCAGGAGCCTTTCCAAACCTACAACTTAAATGTTTTTCCGGGGGAAATAGTGTGTACTTTGTTCACAGCTGGAATTCCCGTCTGCAGCGACAAGGAGGACAGGGACTTCAAAATAATATCAAGTGCAGTGCATCGCGTGCATTGCCGCCGGTTGCTGCTCCGGGGCTCCGGGGGCTTTGCCTGGCTTTGCCGCGGGCGGCAGCTCTCCAAGAGTCGGCTTCGTCGCTCTGTCTCTCTCGCACTCAGGGGGCGTTCCGCATGGGTGCGAGAGAGACAGAGGCATGGCCTGCTGCAGCCTGCTGCAGCCACCACTTACTCAGTTCACATGGCGGCTGCGTGATACGCTTTTCGCCATCGTCCTTCCGCCCTTCTTGCTTCTTGCCACACGCGGAATTCTCACTGGCGTGCGGCACGGCACGCGACCACTCAGCGGCTCTGTCTGTCTCTCTCGCTCTCACGGCCGTGGCGTGCGGGTGCGAGAGAGGCAGCGCGCGCCGGCCGGGCGCCCCGGTCCCATTCCGGTCGCGGCCCCGCGGCCCCTCCCATCGACAGCGTGGACTAGTTCATCCCAGAAGAACTTCTCGTCTCTCTCTGTTCATCCCGCGTGAGGCGCACGCCCGTGCAGGCCGTGCAGGCCGCGCGCGTGCTGGTATAAAAGCGGCGGCGCGTGCCGGCAACACTCACAGTCCGCCATCCACACCAAGTGCCAGCTAGTGCAGTGCCAGTCCCCCTCATCCCCAAGCAACAATGGCGCTCTCCTGCAAGGTGCGCCACCCGCCGCTATCGCCGAGCCGCGCCGAGCAGACTGATTCCCAAGAGTCGTCGCTCTGTCTCTCTCGCACTCGTGGGGCTTCCCGTGTCGGTGTGAGAGAGACAGACTGCATGAGGCACTAGACGCCGTCGTTGACGCACTCCCGTTGCAGATGATGCTCCTCGTGGCCTGCTGCGCGCTGCTGGCGGCCAGCGCCATGGCCGGGCCCCAGCTGGGGCTCGGCGGCTACCACCACGGCGGCACCTACTCCTACTCCAGCCTCCACGACGACCCCCACGTAAGTGCACTCATTCCGAGAGTCGTTTTCGTCGCTCTGTCTCGCTCGCACTCATGGAGCGTCCCGTAGAGGTGCGAGAGAGACAGAGCGACGAGACGTGTTGGGTTGCAGGGCCTGGTGCACGGCAAGTACTCGTACAAGTACGGCGTGCACGACCCCCACACCGGCGACGTGAAGAGCGCCTCCGAGTCCGGCCACGGCGGCGTGGTGAAGGGCGAGTACTCCCTGGTGCAGCCCGACGGCTCGACGCGCACCGTCCACTACACTGCCGACAAGCACAGCGGCTTCAACGCCGTCGTGCACAACACCAAGCCCCACCACCACTACTGAGCGCCCTGCCCTCGGCCCTGCCCGACCCACAGGACCGAAAAACGAAAACGGCGAGCCCCCGGCAGGAGTCGAACCCGAGCCTCTGCCGCGATGACCGAGTCGAGATGGACACTCACGAGGAAGAACGCACGCAGCGACGAAGTAGTCATTCTATGTAAACTTGCAACTTGTCCGAGAACTGGTTCTGTCTGTGATATTAAAACAACGTCAAATTTGCGAGGAGTGCAATAAATTTGTTGAAATCGTAAAAAGAGTCTTGACTTTTTATGACCGATCCAAGCGATCGTTGCTAAAGGTGACCTGCACTACACAGCACTGATGCCAAGTCCGAGATTAGGCAACGATTGCCCTGGAGGCGGCGGTGTCGCATGGGTTGCCATACTCGCCTACTTACAGTGTGCGCCGAACGCCCAGGTGGCCTTCCCTACCGTGCGGGCAACTGAGTGAGCCCAGCGATGCTTTTCCAGTGTGCTGTCAGCGGCTTTTCTTTTGTTCCTGATAGCGAGACTATTACTCAAACCCCCTCCCCGCAAAAAAAGATAAGAACACTGCGCGGTCATTTTCCTGCCATCGAGAGTGGGAGCGTTGGAATCTCTAAAACGCACAGGCTGATCTGAAGTTGTCCATGTTTAGCCGTGTGTGTAAGAAGATGCAAGTGACATAAAATGGAAAGGGAAAAGGGGGTTCCAACAGGATCCCCCAGAAATGAGAGTTGCTATCAATGTTCATTAGACACAAATATATACACATTTAATATCACACGCGTTAAGAATTACAATCAAATGCAGTATCCCTGTTACCCAACTAGTCAGAGTCTGAGATTATTATTGGTACGTGAGAACGAGGATCAAACAGAAAATAAATGTACATCTAGTTAACTGTTTTAAAAGGACAAAGCCATGCCCCTTTGATTTCTATCAAAATTTTAAAAAACAAAAACATTTAACGTTATATACTATAGAAACTACTAGTACTACTACGTGGTCCCGTTCTCCATTTTCTTTCAAATTAATATATCTGGAGAAAGATTTACACTACGAATATACATCAACTTAAGAGAATGCGAGTGGCGCGGGCTGCAGGTGGCTGAGCTGTCAAAACGACCTGTGGCCACAGCCACGCGCGGGCCTGCGAGCGCTCTGAGCAAACTTGATTTGGTATGGTGTGATTCACAGTGGCTGAATCGGTCTTGTCGTCGGCGGACGGACGTCGCACAGTGGGCCAGAAGACCGGTGGAGGCGGACAAAACTCTTGACGCGTTTTGAGCTCCAGAGTCGCTAAATGGGACTCGAACCGAACGTGTGACCCCACCAATGGATTGCTCTTCGAACGAGGAATCCATTGGTGGGGTCACAAGCTCGGCTCGAGGCCTGCTTAGCGACTCTGGAGCTCAAAACTCGTCTAGAATTTTGGCCGCCTGCACCGGTCTTCTGGCCCACTGTGCGTCGGACGGGTGATGTGGTCGCAGCAGACCCATCCCGAGCACTGCTTTTCGTCGCTGTCTCTCTCGCACCGTTACGGGGCGCCCCGTGAGTGCGAGAGAGACAGACCGACGGCAGAGAGCAATGCTCAAAATCAGTGCGCAGCGTCGGGAGGTGACGGCAGACTCCTCAATACTCGTCCAGCGACTCGTCCACGTCGATTTTATAGCCTAGATTCTTGAGCTCTGCAACAAAGAGACACAATCGTTACTATCGGGTGGGAACTAGGGAACCACGGAGCCGGGATGACGCTCATGCCCCCCCCCCCCAGATAAAAACAAACAAAACCAGCAGGGCTGGGGCAGCGCCGGGAGAGCAGGCAACCCAACGCACACCACCGCCCAGGCAGCCTGCTTCCGAGATTCGTTTTCATCGCTCAGTCTCTCTCGCACTCCCGCGGCGTCCCGTATAAGTGCGAGAGGGACAGAGCGACGAAGACGACTCTCGGAATCAGTCTGCAGTGCTGCCACCATAAGTCCCCCAGGATGAAATGAGCCGAGGGGGCAACCACTCCAGAAATCTTGTGTCCCCTTAGCGCTAGAAATCTCTGGGAAATTTGAAATCTTGCCCCCCCCCCCAAAGGCCAAAAACAAGCTAATTTTGGGCGGAATAACGGTTAAAATCTTGGGAAATCCGACGAAATCTTTAGCCTTAAGAAATCCTGTGTCCCCAAACATCCAAAGTGGTTGCCCCCTCGAAATGAGCGCACAGCTCTGGTACGCTCCGAGAAGGGCGTACGAACTGTCCGCTTCGCGAAAGGCAGGGCGCGTTGCTAGTTTTCCCAGTGGCCCAAGTCAAAGAGACGAGGAGACGCACCTCTCCTGAAGACGTTCTTGTTGCGCAGGGCCTCCAGCCAGGCGGTGTAGGACACCTCGTGGCGGGTGCCGCCGTACCGCTTGGGCAGGTGGTCCGGGTCGATGTGTTCGTGCAGCGAGCTCAGGTCGCTGCCGTGGAAGTACAACTGGAACCGAATTCGAATACAGTTTTAGCCGGCGGATCATTTTGCAGCGCCTCGTCGCAGTGGGAGCAGCGCGCGGGGGCAATCAAGCCTGCGGACTGACTCCGAGAGTCGTTTTCGTCGCCGTCTCTCTCGCACCCACACGGGACGCCCCATGAGTGCGAGAGAGACAGAGCGACGATGACGACTCTCGGAATCGGCCTGCAGCTGTCGTCAGGAGGAAGATGGGGCCTCTGCCATTTTGCCATTCCGTCATTCTGCGGTTCGGCTGTGTTCGGTGACGGGCCTCGACATGCGGGCGGTCTCTCTCGCACTCACGGGGCGCCCCGTGCAGGTGCGAGAGAGACAGACTGCTTCGCTGCTGCGCACTTGCGGCGCACAGTGGGCCAGAAGACCGGTGGAGGCGGCCAAAACTCTAGACGCGTTTTGAGCTCCAGAGTCGCTAAACGGGACTCGAACCGAACGTGTGACCCCACCAATGGATTCCTCGTTCGGAGAGCAATCCATTGGTGGGGTCACACGTTCGGTTCGAGGCCTGTTTAGCGACTCTGGAGCTCAAAACGCGTCTAGAGTTTTGGCCGCCTCCACCGGTCTTCTGGCCCACTGTGCGGCGCGTGCTGCACTCGGCGGGGCGGAGGGGCCGAAGGCACGCACGCAGCCAAGCCAAGCGGAGCGCGGCGCCGTCTGTCTCTCTCGCACCTAAACGGGGCGCGCCGTGAGCGCGAGAGAGACAGAGCAACAAAGTAGATCTCCATCTCGACGGCATCCTCGTCCTCCGCGGCCTCAATGCACCACCCTCGCTGGGACAGCCTCTTCATGCAAAAGTCCCGCCCAGGACATCCCGCGCTCTCGGGGCGGTCTAGCGGGCAGTGGAGGTGCGAGGGGGCAGAGCCAGGCACAGCGACACGCCCTGTTTGAGGCTACAAAGTTGCAGCACACTAGAAAGACAGAAGCAAGCCAGCCGATGGCTTGGAGGCCTGAAACGCCTGTGAGGTAGGCCACGGATTCACCCCGCAACACACCGCAGCGGAGACGGTGGCCTACCTCGCCCCCTGCAGTGTAGCGCCTGTGAGGTAGGCCACGGATCCGTCCCGCAACACACTGAAGTGGAGACGGTGGCCTACCTTGCCCCTGTGAGGCTGACAGGAGCGAGGTAGGCCACCGTCTCCACTCCGGTGTGTTGCGGGACGGATCCGTGGCCTACCTCACAGGCGCTACAGGCCACTTGCACCTGGGACGCCGTCGCTCCACTGTGAGCTTATCTTGTCATTTTGGTGTGGCGACTGCAGACTGATTCCGAGCGCCGTTTCCGTCGTTCTGTCTCTCTCGCTCTCACGGAGCGTCCCACACAGATGCGAGAGAGACAGAGCGACGAACACGACTCTCGGCATCAGTCGACTGATTGAGACGCATTACGCATTGGGTAGCGAGGCCTTGGCCTGCCTTTGGCCACCGCGTCCTCTTGCCAGTGCGCCAGGCTGGTCAGGCTACCGCGTGCCAGTGTGCCAGCCGCCCCGACACCTCCACGGAGGCAACCAACCAGGAGGTCGGGCCGCCGGCCGCCTGGGCACCAGCAGGGACCAGCCGTGTACATCCAGGAGAGCGGTTTGGCGCTCCGTCTCTCTCGAGCCCTGGAGGAGTGCTCCGCGAGTGCGACAGAGACAGAGCGGCGAAACGACTCTTCTGGATCGCCGGTCAGCACGCACCGGGCGAGTGGACGCCGCCAGGCGCCCAGTGGGCTAGAAGACCGGTGGAGGCGGCCAAAACCCTAGACGCGTTTTGAGCTCCAGAGTCGCTAAATGGGACTCGAACCGGACGTGTGACCCCACCAATGGATTGCTCTCCGAACGAGGAATCCATTGGTGGGGTCACACGCTCGGTTCGAGTCCCCTTTAGCGACTCTGGAGCTCAAAACGCGTCTAGAGTTTTGGCCGCCTCCACCGGTCTTCTGGCCCACTGTGCGCCGGCCCGCCTCTCCGGCCGCAGACCCGGCCACGCCGGCCACGCAGCCTGCTGCGGGTTCGTTCTGAACGGCGCCCTGTCTCTCTCGCACCCTTACGGGACGCCCTACGAGTGCGAGAGAGACAGAGCGACGAAAGCACTCGTCCGCAAGCCAGCTGCCGGCGGCTGGCAGGCTGGCAGGACGACGGCGGCGATGACAATGGCGCGTCGTTTCGTCACCTTGGCGTCGGCGTCGTCATCGGCCGCCACGTCGGGCACGTCCACGACGTCGGCGCAACGTGACGTGGCGTGGCGGCCGACGTGTCATTCGCCAATACGCCCAGGACGTCCACGACGTGCACGCCGTCGTCGTCGTCGTCCCAAGCACGAGGCGCTTCCGGCCTGCACGGCTGCAGCAGGGGCCGACGCCGGACAGCACCGTCTCTCTCGCACTCACGCGGCGAGCCGGCGTGCTGTTGGGGTGCGAGAGAGACAGAGCGACGCAGCGCTTCTGCTGTTCGGAAACATCATCATCATCATCGCTCAGCCCGATGCAGCCGAAGAAGGCTTTGGAGCAGAAGGTGCTGAGTAACGCAGTAGTAACGCCGCAGGTACCCCTTCCTTCTCTTCATCCCATAACGCACCGAGGCTGCGGTCGCCGAGGCAGTGGTACTCGTAAAGCTCCTCGCTGTAAATCTCTTCCCCCCTCCCTCTTCCCTCCGCGGTTGGCTGTTTTGGTTCGGCGTTGTTTTTATTCCGGCCGCGTCGCGACGTCACGACGGGACGCGTACCGCGCGTACCCTTCGACGGCGACCGCGAGGCCCGCGGTGGGGGCTCATCGGGGGGCGTCAAGTCACGTGACAAACACACACACAGAGAGAGAGAGAGAGAGAGAGAGAGAGAGAGAGAGAGAGAGAGAGAGAGAGAGAGAGAGAGAGAGAGAGAGAGAGAGAGAGAGAGAGAGAGAGAGGGGGGCGGCACAGGGACGCTAGGGGCGATTACCGCTCGTCCACCTGTCCAGCCAGCAAGGGGAGGTTGTTGCCGATAACGCCCCCCCCCCCCCGGCGCATCCACGTGGCCGTGTCACGGAGGAGGCCGTGATGGGCGTCGCGATGGCAGTGACGTGGCTTGCAGTGGCGTGCAGTGGCGTGCCACCGCGGTAACCTTGGCGGCGACAGAGCGGCCCGACGAGCCGACATTGACGGGCGGCATAAGCAACACCCACACACCGGGCACACCGGGAGAGGGATACGACGAGCACACCGCCGGGCGATTCGATGATGACTCAGTCACAACGCGGGCCGGCCGGATCGAATATTGAACATGAAACATTGAACATCGAACATCGAAAGCGAGTTTCCCGGGACGCTGCAGGCCGGTCGGACACCGCCACGCCGCCAGGTTGCCTGCCTGGTCATGTCGGGCGGCGCCGCCTACACGGCCAAACTTCATGTCATTTGGGAAGTAGACACTGCAAAGCACACGTGCTTTGCCATTTTCCGAAAACTTCAAGGGTTTTTTCTTTTCGAGACTCCGTTAGGAGATTAATTTCTGTGGTCGGCGTCCCCGCATGATGATTGCATTTTCACGGAAATGTCTGGCATAGCTCCGCACCGCGAAAATCGTGAGTTGTTGTTATTTTCCGACGACATTGTGGCAAATTTGCATGGCGGATGGTCGCCGCGGCCGTCTGGTCCGTCGCCAGACGGGGCGACGCGGCCCCACGGCCGAGAGTCGTTTTCGTCCCTCCGTCTCTCTCGCACCCATGCAGGACGCCTCCTCGAGTGCGAGAGGGACAGAGCGACGAAAACGACTCTCAGACTGCTGCCACTACGCTATTTGCCCTTATCATGTCGCCGTCTTTCCCACGCAGTTCGTAAGACAAGCGGCAGTCCCCTTTGCCTGTTCGCAATCAAATGTGTACCTTTCCGTGCGAGTTTTCGCGGCGTTGTTTTACGTGCCTCTGAATTTCTCACACGGCGCGGTAGCCTCGCTCGGCAGAGCAGGCAGCCAGCGCGAGCGGGACATCAGACCAGGAAGGAGTTTGGGCCGCTTTCAGAAAAAAACGCCGTAATTTAAACGAATTGTCCCACCAAAATGGCTTTCGGGCGCACAGACATCCATGGGAAAATGCAGTGCAAATTGAGCAAACATGCGCGAGAAAGTATTTACTTCCACGATATTGGTCCTTGTTTTGTTCCTCTATTGCCCACCGAGCGCTAGGAGGTCCCCTATTTTCACACCCTGTGATTGCTGTGTTTGTTACCTTGTCGAGTGCCGAGTCCGCCAGAATTGGACTGAAGAGGCCGTAGATGATGTCAAAGACCCACGACTCGTTGAGGATGTGAATTGCCTGAGTCTGCATGGGCGACGAGGTCTGCAACAAGTAACACGTCTCTGTCATCGTCGAGGTATAAAAAAAAATGCAAAACGATTATTTCGTGCGGCAGGCTGTTCGCGAGAGCGAATACAAAAGTATTTTTGGTTCCCAAGGACGCGTGATTTAAAAAATTTGAAGGATTGACGGGGTTTACTTCCGAAGATCGCGAAACGCTCACCGTGACGTCATTTGATTGTGACTTCTTCTAGTCCAAATGTCTACAGGAAGAACCCGTCCATGGGACGTCATTTTGACTTCCTTCAACTCATGCCTAGCGAGTGTTTGGTGCTTTTTGGGGACGATTTGTCCGAAAAGCGCGCGGAAGCACCCGGAACCCCACGCAATAAGCGTCTCAAGGTGATGCAGACGGGGCGGAACGGCAATGGCAATCTCTATGATTGCTGGTCCTGCTCGCGGGGCGCGCCCCGCCAAGCACCCCGCCACCTCGATCCTCGAGGTCACCTTACTTCTTACTTTCACGCCGGCCTGACCGTAGCGGCGTTGCGCGCTCGGTACTCACTCACGCTTCCTTCCCGCCGAGCGCGCCCGCAGTGCCAACTTAACAAACGGACCCCAAATCTAGACTGCGTGCACAACTCGTGAATGGTGACAAAATTGGCTAGTTAAATTTAGAGACCAGGTCGTAAGTCGTTCAATGCAGTGCGTTCCGGAAGCTCTCTGTACAACAGATCCAAATTTGAAAGTTTCGCTAGGTTGGCACTGGCCGGTTTGGCAGCCACCGGAACGGCCGGCGCCGCACGCCGCCGCTTCCGCCGTGCGGCCAGCGGCCGGCAGGCGGGCAGGCTGTGCGAACTGCGCGCTGTCTCCGTCGCACTCGGGGGCGTGCGGTGCGGGCGCGAGAGAGACAGAGCGGGGCGCTGTCCGGAGTGGGTCTGGAGGGGGCCCTACGTGGGGCTCGGCCGCCCAGCCGCCCAGCCCGCACGGCGAGCCGCTGAGCGCCGCGCGGCTCCACGGCGGTGCGGTCCAGCGCAAGGTCACTGCCAAGAGCGCTAGGCAGCACGGCTACGGCGGCGAGGCAGCGCTAGAGACCGCGCGCGCGTAGTTTCTTTGGCCGTAGCTGTAACCGCTTCCGGCGCCAGGCCAGCCAGTCGGCCAGTCCGCCGTGCATAAGGCAAGGCAAGCCAGTGAGTACTCCGGAATAATGATGAAAAATTTCCGCAGAGCGAGAGACAGAGTCAATGCCGTCGCGGAGCACCGCGGCGTCAGGATGGCTCGCCGGCCGGTTCGAGGCTCAAAACGGTCTTGCACGCCCCAAGTACCCTAAGGACTCCAAGTTCGCGAAGGACCCCAAGTACCGACCTCAAGTACCCCAAGTATCCTAAGGACCCCAAGTATCCAAAAGTACCCCAAGGACCCCAAGGCCCCCAAGTACCCTAAGGACCCCAAGTACCGTAAGGACCTCAAGTACCTTAAGTACCCTAAGGACCCCAAGTGCCGTAAGGACCTCAAGTACCTTAAGTACCCTAAGGACCCCAAGTGCCGTAAGGACCTCAAGTACCTTAAGTACCCTAAGGACCCCACATACCCTGAGGACCCCAAGTACCCCAAGGAAGGACCCCACGCACCCTAAGGACCCCAAGCATCCTAAGGAGCCCAAACACCCTAAGGACCCCAAGTCAAGTACCCCAACTACCCCTCGTACCTCGAGCAGCTGGATGACCTTGGCGGCGATGGTGGGCGACACCTGCCAGGCGTGCTGCAGCCCGATGCCCTGCAGGTCGAAGATGACGACGCCGCCCTTGATCTGCGCGTTGGGCTCCATGATGCCCAGCTCCAGCACGATGAGCGTGGCCCGGAACAGGTCGTCGATGGGCACCTTGCTGGGGTCCCAGTTACCTGCAGGGGGAGAAATAGTTAGTAGGAAATTCATCTCTCTGGGACAGGCACATTGTGGGTTGCCTGGCAGTCGGGCTGAGGCGGTCCACAGAGGGCCAGAAGACCGGTGGCGGCGGCCAAAACTATAGACGCGTTTTGAGCTCCAGAGTCACTAAACAGGCCTCGAACCGAACGTGTGACCCCACCAATGGATTCCTCGTTCTGAGAGCAATCCATTGGTGGGGCCACACGTTTGGTTCGAGTCCCATTTAGCGACTCTGGAGCTCAAAACGCGTCTAGAGTTTTGGCCGCCGCCACCGGTCTTCTGGCCCACTGTGCGGTCCGCGAGGCTCACCGATTCTGTACAGCAGGATGCGGCGTCCGTGCTGGTCGAGGTAGGGCAGCACGGTCATGACGTCCGACTCGCCGATCAGCGAGAAGCCCTCGGGGTCCACGTTCTTCTGGTACGAAGGGTTCTGCTCCTTGAAGCGCATGTACCTCTTGAGCTGCAAGAGGAGACGGGCAGTGTGAACGACATCCTGAAAGTGGGTTCAGTCCGCCTTCCGGCGAGCCTTCCGGGAGGAAACCAGCGTGCCCTGTCGTGACATTGGACTTGGCCGCTCGCCGCGAGTTTTCCGGGTTGTTTCGAGAGTCTCGGTGAACGAAGACGAGACACTGGTCGTGATTGCCTCCAAGTTTCTTCTATTTGTGCACCAATGGCGGTCCGGGGCTCCGGGGCTCCGGGGCTCCGACTCCGGGCCGTTGCCTCGGCCGGAAGGCTGCCCGCGTCAGCGGCCGGCCGGGCCGCGGCTTGCACTTGCATGCAGATTAGTCACACGCAAGCAGGCTCGTTCCGAGAGCCTCGCTCTGTCTCGCTCGCACTCACGCGGCGCCCCGTAGAGGTGCGAGAGAGACAGAGCGACGGAATCAGTCTAGGCATGCCGCGAGTCGCGCAGTCCAAAAGGAGGAACGTTTAACTCCCGTCTCTTTCGCCCCGGAGTCATAAGTGTGCGGTAAGGACGGCGGCCCGAGTCGCTCTGTCTCTCTCGCACCGCTGCGGGACGCCCCACGCGTGCGAGAGAGACAGAGCGACGAAAGCACTGTTCTGCTGCTTCCGAGGCGCGCGCCGTGTCGCGCGACTCACCAGGTAACCAGGGCAGCCTTGACTTAGGCCTCTCTACCCCCACCGGCACGCGGCACGCCTACTTTCCTGCGCGCGCTGACGCCGCACGGGGTGCCAGCCGCCTCAGGCCTCCACAAAAAAGAAGGAAAATGGAAATGGATGGCGACGGTCGGTGGGATTCGAACCCGCGACCTGCGGCCTGTGGTTTGCACTCACCAGTCGGTGCGACCGCTCCACGTTGAACGAGCGCGCGCGCAGGAAGCGCAGCAGGAACGAGTCGTCCATCCGGTAGGGCGTCACCTCGCCGCGCTCTGGAAGCGATGCCCAAAGTCAGAGAGAGAACACGTGACAAAGTGCACACAAAAATTACCAGAGGCGGATCCAGAGGGGGAGGGGAAGGACAATGGACTTCCCCATTGGCCCCGAGATGGCCGCCTGAAAGGTGGGCGAAAGGCCACACTCGGCCCTGTGGGTAGGCAAAAGGTGCACAGTGGGCCAGAAGACTGGTGGAGGCGGACAAAACTCTAGACGCGTTTTGAGCGCCTGGGTCGCTAAATGGGACTCGAACCGAACGTGTGACCCCACCAATGGATTGCTCTCTGAACGAGGAATCCATTGATGGGGTCACATGTTCGATTCAAGTCCTGTTTAGCGACTGTGGAGCCGACAACGCGTCCATAGTTTTGGCCCCCTCCACCAGTCTTCTGGCCCACTGTGAGGTGCCACCTTGCCCCTCCCTCGGGCCGGCCCTGGATCCGCCCCTGAAAGTGACAAAAACTGAATCTCACCGTAGATGGTGTCCTTGAGCTCCTGCAGGGTGCGGGTCTTGGCCTCCTCCGTCTCGCCCAGCACCTTCCTGGCGTAGTCCTTGAGCTTCTCGTCGGGCTCGTCCAGGCGCAGCCCCACCTTGTCGTCCAGGACGTCGGGCAGCGCGGGGCGCAGCGCCTCCGTCCGGGGCAGCTCCGGGCTGGCCGCGGCCGGCATCTGGTGCAAGGTCAAGTTCTAGTTAGGGGTGCCAACTCACAATCGCGGCCGGCATCTCGTTCAAGTTAGGGGTTCCAACTCGCAGCCTTGGGTCGACATCTCGTTCAAGTTCAGGGTAAGGGTTCCAACTCGCAGATGCAGCCGCGGCCGGCATCTCGATCAAGTTCAAGTTCAAGTTAGCGTTTCCAGCTGGCAGCCTTGGGTCGGCATCACCAGCGGCACCCAAAACCGAAGTCAGCCGAGCGGGCACGTGTAGCGACCGGTTTGGACCGCCGACGCCGCGCTGCCTTCGTCACTCGGCGCCTGGCCGCGTGGCGAGGCGAGGCGAGGCGAGGCGCGCTTCCAACTTGACCTTTTTTTGCCCGCCAGTTTTCCGCAGAATAAGACACTTGAATAAAATTGAGTTTGATGAAGAACCCACTGCGGTTGACGTTCGCAGGGAGTTGAATGTTACTCTCATTGCAAACTGCAATCGAAACACATTATCGGGTCCTATTGCAAATGACACGGCACAAGCAATTTTCCTGGATTTCTTTTGTCGTTTTAAATTTTTTGTCTGCTGTAAACGCCGAGGACGACGTTAACGTTCACACGGCGCTCGGCCAGCCCTTGGGAGCCTTTGGTGGCTTGGGTGCCTTTGGTGCTTGGGCCACGAGGAGAACCCCTGGAAACAAGGAGCCACGCCCGTGCGGACTCGACACCGGGAGACTACGACTTGATTGCGGCGCCCGACGACGAGCAGACGGCAACCTAACCTCACCTAACCTGACCCAGCCCGCGCCGGCCGCCCGCGCCTTCCTCCGGCACAGCTTACTCGCCCGCGACTGTCTGTCTGGCCGCGTTCAATCATTGTGACGTCACGCACGACGCCAGGTCGGCGCCAAGTCACATTCACGGCACGGGATGCATGCGCCTCTTTAGATGCTCCGTTTACAAACCAGAATCGCGTCAGCGCGTCGGCTCGTGAAATCGGGGCCGCAGCAAAGGCGCAGGGTCGGCAAAGTAGCAGGGTGATTTTGGAACTGCCGCGAGGCAGCAAAGTGGCAGGGTTGTGACCGGCAAAGCAGCAGGGTCGCCGGCCGGCAAAATGTGCTTTGGAATCCATGTCCGTGCTTTTGGAAAGATTTGACCGACTGACCCCCAATGTGTTTATCCTCAAGAGGACGACGTCCCCCCGAGAGACGCAGTGACAATGACCGGTATTGTCACACTGGAGGAGTCGCACAGTGGGCCAGAAGACCGGTGGAGGCGGCCAAAACTCTACACGCGTTTTGAGCTCCAGGGTCGCTAAATGGGACTCGAACCGAGCGTGTGACCCCACCAATGGATTCCTCGTTCGGAGAGCAATCCATTAGTGGGGTCATACGTTCGGTTCGAGTCCTCTTTAGCGACTCTGGAGCTCAAAACGCGTCGAGGGTTTTGGCCGCCTGTGAGTCGCCAGGACTTTTTGCTCTCCTTTGTTTCGTTGTCCGCGGCCTCAGGTTGTGTTCGCAGGGTCGTTGACTGCCAAACGCCACATGTCGTCATCCGACGACGCGCGACCAACAGGGGTTGCCGAAGTAACGAAACTAAAAGAGCAAGAATGTGTGTTTCGGGTTGGGCCGTCCTCGTGCCTCCGTGCAAGTTTCTCGTGTTTCTTAGTTTTTGTTTCTGCTAGTTTCTTTTCCTGCTCGCGGCTTGTACGTACGGCCGGCGAGTTTAATTGACTAGTCCGGTCACCCACACTGGGCGGACGCCTCTGCCCCCCTCTCCTGCCGCGCGGGACGGGGAGGGGGGGGGAGTCACGTGAGCACCATTATACCTGGCAGACGGGCACCGCGGCACCGCGGCACGGCCAATCGAACAGTCTTGTTGTTGGCAAAAAGAATTTAGGCATGCGGCCGTCGCTCCTCTGGACGTGTGCGCGTGCACGGAGTGCGAGGAGACGCCCATTTTTTCGTGTGTGTCCGTGCGTGTCTCTGTCTCTCTCTCTTCTCTCTCTCTCTCTCTCTCTCTCTCTCTCTCTCTCTCTCTCTCTCTCTCTCTCTCTCTCTCTCTCTCTCTCTCTGTGTGTGTGTGTGTGTGTGTGTGTGTGTGTGTGAAAGGGGAGGGGGGCGCTTGCATGCCTTCGCGAATATGTGTGTGTGTGCGTGTGCATGCATGCAGCATGTGCGAGCGCCCGTCTTTCTGGTGAGTTGAATGCACTTGCATGATGCCACCGCGCTTGGGAAACGCGTGCGTGATCCGTGCTGCAGCAGGATGCAACGGGACACGGCCAAGATAATGCACTCTCCCCTTTCCGGAGCAGTGGGACGCAGCCCGGAGGTCTGGGACGTCGAAAGGTCTTCCCCGGGGTTTGGATCGGGGTCGGTTAGCTCGGGTCGGTTTGGGTTGTGTTGGGCGAGGGGTGAATCACTAGTGTACTCATGTGTACTCAGTGTACTCACAAGTTTACAAAGGGTGAAATTCACTAGTTTTTCGACCGATTTAGCGTTGAGTGCCTTTAAAAACGCTACATGAAAGCCTTAAAACGTTTTTAAACGTGAAATTTATGAGTAAAGCAAGGTGTACTCTCGCGTACTCATGAACTCGTGTACACTAGGACGCTGAGTGATTCACCCCTCGGTGTTGGGTCAGTTTCAGTCAGGGTAGGTTGCGTTGGGTCGGGATCCGTCAGGCTAGGTTAAAAATGGCCTCGAGAATTCGTCATGTTAGGTCAGGTAAGGTCATCCAGGCGTGCCTCTTCTAAGCTTCACGCGCGTCGCACAGTGGGCCAGAAGACCGGTGGAGGCGGCCAAAATCCTAGACGCGTTTTGAGCTCCAGAGTCGCTAAATGGGGCCCGAACCGAACGCGTGACCAATGGATTGCTCTCCGAACGAGGAGGGCATCCTTCGCCGCCGCTATTGTGCGGTTCCGCGCACTGCACCCAAGCAGATAGACGGCGCTTATCTTATTTGTATGTATTTCGAGCGATAGATAATCCATGCAGTGCAGCTGCGTCGCGGAGCGGCGCGGCATGGCGGTGTGGCCTCCCGATCGGGTCACATCAATCACGGACGCGAAAAGGCCGAGAGAAGCGGAGTCCAGTCGGGGGGCGTTCGTTAATGACGTCACGCCGACTGCGTCCGAATCGGGGCCCGGCTCACTTCTCACACAGTGGACCAGAAGACCGGTGAGGGCGGCCAAAATCCCAGTTTTGAGCTCCAGAGTCGCTCAATGGGACTCGAACCGAACGTGTGACCCCACCAATGGATTGCTCTGCGAACGAGGAATCCATTGGTGGGGTCACACGTTCGGTTCGAGTCCTGCTTAGCGACTCTGGAGCTCAAAACGCGTTAGGAGTTTGTAGCCGCCTGCGCCGGTCTTCTGGCAAAAACCCACTGTGCGTTGGGCTCTGCGACGGCGTTTGCAACGTTATCGCTGGACGCCCCCTTTGGGGCACGCCGGCGCGCCGGCCGCGTCGCCTCGGAACGCCTCGCCGCCAAGGCCGCGCAGTATGCAACACTACGTGCACTACAGTGCACTACAGTGCAGCAGCCCCTGACCCTTACCCGCCTGCCTTCCGCCTGCGTCTCCTTCTGTCTCTCTCCGCTCCAAGGCGAGCGCTCTTTCTCCGTCTCCCTCCTTCCGTACAGTGCGGGCGCCAGCTGGCGGATTCCTCCGGGCGTCGTTTTGGCCGCTCTGCCTCTCTCTCTCTCTCTCTCTCTCTCTCTCTCTCTCTCTCTCTCTCTCTCTCTCTCTCTCTCTCTCTCTCGCACCCGCAGGCCTGCATGGCACGCCCCAAGAGTGCGAGAGAGACAGAGCGGCGGAAACTCTCGGAATCAGGTCTGCGCCGCGGCAGTCAGGACAGTCAGGACGGGCTTGACCGGCAAACCGGCCATTACGGGATGCATTACCATGTCCATCGGTGCATCGAAAGTGAGCACGTGACATGGCTGGCGGCCTGTCACGCCTCGGTCACGTCGACGTCAAAACAAGAAAAAAGGCGGATGTCTCGAGAATACGTTATCTCACAAAATAACATGCACGTTCGTTGTCTAGCTGTTCATCAAGGTCCATCGCTCGCCTATTACGACGCCGGCAACGAGGCCTAGCGAGCCAAGTCCCCTCGTCCCATCAGCGCAGTCATCTGTCACCGGAAAAAACGTGAAACGCAGCGACGGCCGGCACTGCAGCGGACAGCGCGCATTGGCCGACGCGGCGGCGACATGCATATCCCACAGAAAAAGGGGGGGGCATTACTGCGCTGAGGTTGCCTACACTGGCAGGGGCCAAAGAAAGGCGTGTCGTCAGCCTCGCTGGGTCCTGCCATTGTGCTGCCCCCGCAACACGGTGGCCTAGAGGGCCTAGAGTGGCCCGCGGGGTCCGGCGGCAGGACTGGGGCAACAGGCAACAACGGCAACTTGGCTTTGTCAGCGAGGCTTCCACACTGTTAAAATTATTTGTTGTCACTTTCTGACCAGGACCACATTTACACTGCACTGTCTCCAGGCAAATGAGCGCGAGATGGAGAGTCCTTGCGGGATGGGTCTAGCCACGCTGGGGACTGATTCCGACAGTCGTTTTCGTCGCTCTGTCTCTCTCGAACCTATACGGGACGCGCCGTGAGTGCGAGAGGGTCAGAGCGACGAAAACGGCTCTCGGAATCAGTCTGCTGGAGAGCATGGCGAGGCAAGGCTGGCGTGATCACGACGCTTATCACGCACCCGCCCAAAACAAGAGAACGTTTTTCGCGAGAACGCGGGCAAAGCGGTGCGACACCAACAGAACAAAGATGGCGGACTCCGAGCCGGCGCTTCGTCGCTCTGTCTCTCGCGCGCATGCGAGCGAGACAGACAGGGACCTCCCTCTCGGAATAAACCCGCCGACCGTTGGAGGATCCCTCTGGCGTTCGAGTGTCGGTCAGTCAATCCTGTCGGGTTCTCTTCGCGCGAGTCTCATTGTTGTCGCCGCTTTCGTCCGTGCTCCGTACACTGCATCGTAGCACACACTAGTCCGGCCGTGGCGTCTCCGCGCGCCGACTTGGCCGGCCGGCCAGGGCTCTGCACTGCAACCGAGTGCAACGCCTTGGCACACACACACATACACACACTCACCCTGCGGTGCTGGTCGCGACGATGCTGTAAGAATCCGGTCCTTGCCGCGCTCTAGGCTGCGCTGCTACGCTGGGCTGAGCTGGGCTGTGCTGGGTGCGTCCGACCACGACCACCACAATAGCGGGGCTTCCTCTTCGCGCCGAGTGCCGCGCCGCTCGCGCCGCTCTATCGGCGCGTCCTGTCGGTCCTGTCACGCTCGCTTCCTCCGCTTCACTCCGCGACGCTGCTCGGCTCGCAACTCGCAGTGCTCTGGCCGTCGGTCGGGCCGGGCGCGCTGAGTCTCTCTCGGAGCGACGCGACGCCGAAGAGCGCGACGCCGCCAAACACGAGCACGCGGCGACGCCCCCCTCCCCCGTTTTCCAGCGGCCGCGGCCCACTGGGCCCCACGCGATCCGCCGCCCGCGCTGATAAGATAATGGGCGCGGAGTATTGCCGTCCGCCGGACAGTCGGACACCGGCAGCGCTCTGTCTCTTTCGCACTCCCACTCGACGTCCCGCGAGTGCGAGAGAGACAGAGCGACGAGGCGCTGCTCGCGATGCGGATGATGAGTCAACCGGAGGGAAACAAAGCGACCGCGCCGCCGGCGACGCGGCGACGCTACCCCGCGCGCGCGGGACACCCGACGCCAGCCTTGCGGAGGGACTCTCGCGCGCGGGGTATTGCCGACGTACCGTACTTGGCGTCCGCCCGGCTCGCGCGCGGTCCGCGTACTGCTGTAGTGCCGCACTGCCGGCCCAGCGCCCAGCCCGAGTCGCTGCCGAGGGCGGTCGCACTCCGGGCGCGGCCGGTGCAGTTATAGTGCACCGCACAGTGGGCCAGAAGACGGACAAAACTCTAGACGCGTTTTGAGCTCCAGAGTCGCCAAACAGGACTCGAACCGAACGTGTGACCCCACCGATGGATTGCTCTCCGATCGAGGAATCCATTGGTGGGGTCACACCTTCGGTTCGAGTCCTGTTTGGCGACTCTGCTGCTGAAAACGCGTCTAGAGTTTTGTCCACCTCCACCGGTCTTCTGGCCCACTGTGCACCGGGATGGGGCCGCGCCAAGTGCTGCTGGTACGGTACTTCCGCGCCTGGTGCGGGAGAGAGCCTGAACTAACAAGGCGGCCGTGGGCTGGGTTTCGATCAGAACGCGTGCATTCGCGGCTCGCCGTAGAGCGCCCGGCTCAAAGTCCCACGACGCATTGGCGTCGAAAGGGTTGCCTACCCAGCCTGTCTGGAGACTGATTACGAGAGTTGTTTTCGTCGTTCCCTTGGGAACTCATGGGACGTCCCTCTAAGTGCGAGAGAGCTAGCGACGAAAACGACTCTCGGAATCAGTCCACTGGACAGACTGGACAGCATCATGCCAGAGAACCGAGAGCGTTTGCAATAATGGAGTCGGGTAAGGGTCGGCACGGCAACACTGATGCCGTGTGCCGTGGGAAGCTATGTCTATTTTTGCGCCTGCTCAGCGGAATTGGTTCCCCTACGGGAGCGCCTGCGATCTGCGGCATGCAGGCCCGTTGCGCGCGAGTGTGTCGCGTGGTTGCCTACCCTGCCTTTCGCAGGCGTCTGGCGGCATGCAGGCCCGTTGCGCGCGAGTGTGTCGCGTGGTTGCCTACCTGCCTTTCGCAGGCGTCTGGCGGCATGCAGGCCCGTTGCGCGCGAGTGTGTCGCGTGGTTGCCTACCCTGCCTTTCGCAGGCGTCTGGCGGCATGCAGGCCCGTTGCGCGCGAGTGTGTCGCGTGGTTGCCTACCCTGCCTTTCGCAGGCGTCTGGCGGCATGCAGGCCCGTTGCGCGCGAGTGTGTTAGGGTTGCCTACCCTGCCTTTCGCAGGCGCCTGGCGGCATGCAGGCCCGTTGCGCGCGAGTGTGTTAGGGTTGCCTACCCTGCCTTTCGCAGGCGCCTGGCGGCATGCAGGCCCGTTGCGCGCGAGTGTGTCGCGTGGTTGCCTACCCTGCCTTTCGCAGGCGTCTGGCGGACTGCCACCGCCGCCGCCCGCTCCGACAGCGCTTCGATTCCCTCTGACGAACGAGGCTGGCCGCCCAGCCAGCCACCAAGGGCGGAACCCTTATCACTGAGACGTGACCAGCGCGCCGAAATGTCGCACGTTGCACGCCATCGAGCGCGAGAGCGACAAGGACATACATACATTTATTTGATTGGTTTTCTCGCAACCAGCGTGATGACGGCACGGTCTCGTTTTCAGAAGAAAGTTTTGACCAAAAAAAAAATTAAAAACAGTTTACAGAAGCTTTAATCGTTGTCAACAAAGTCAAATGGTCTACACTATCATTCCGCCCTGATGTAGTCGATCTCCAGGCTGGAGGCGCCGGACTGCTTGGTGGGCAGGTACACGCCGCCGGCCACCTGCAGCCCCACGCTGGTGATGTTGGTGACGTCCAGCGGGATGTCCTTGACCTGCTGGCCGCGGTAGTAGGGCAGGAAGTCCTTCAGGGGCAGCGACACCAGCACGAACTTGTCCGGCTGCACCTGGAAACGCACACACGGGGGGTAAAATCGGCCGCTATTTTGTTGGTGACAACAGTGAGGCGATCACGGCTCCCGCGTTATGTAAGGCATGGCATGGAAGAAGAGATAGTGAGGCGGCCTACAGGGAGGGGGGGGGGGGGGGGGGCAAGGAAAGGCCCTAGAGTGCGTCTCGTGCTTCCCTCCCTACCTGGAAGGTCTGCTCGTAGGTGGGGTTGGGCTCGTCGTCGAGGCCGCGGTGCCGCAGCACCACCTTGTACTGGAAGTTCTTGCCCTGCGCGCGGCAGTACAGGACGATGGCGCTGCGGTTGGTCAGGTTGAGTTGCGTGAAGGTGCGCACGCCGGCGAAGCCCGCGCCGTTGGGCTGCGGGTTGAGCAGCGTGAAGAAGACGGCCCGCTGGAACTCCTGGGTCTGCTGCAGCACCAGGGCCGCCTTGGACATGCCCACCTTGCGCACCGTGTCCGACTGCTCCACCCAGTCGTCCACCCTGGCCAGAGGGCTGGTGAAGTCGGCAATCTTGACGAAAGAAGAGCTCTCGGCAGCACTGCATAGAAGTCAAAATCAATAAAGCTGAGATCAGTTAGCTCCACATAACCTTACCACGTACACAAGCACGGCGACCAAAGTTACTCGGCGCCGGGTTCGAAACGAGTGAAATTTCACGGTCGAAACCGTCGTTACCTCATGGTGAGCAGGGCAGAGGAGCACAGCGCGAAAGCAGCCAAAACGCGGCGACCGCTTATCATTGTGAGTCAATGTTTGGCCGATTCTTCCGGGGCGTGCTCGCAGACAAGGCCAGAGAGGTGCTGCGACTGCGGGTGGGGAGGCCTAGTGTCAAGCAATGACTGTGCATCGCGGCACCGAACCCCGGCACGACCGCCGTCCCTTTCAACTTTCTGCTTCAGCTGTGAAAATGTAAACAGGGCCCACTCCACTCCCTTCCCTGTCCCTTCCTCCCCTCGCCCTTCCCGCCTTTCCACTGGGCGGCGCGGCACTGCAAGGCCGTGACATGAGGCGGCACGTTCGAATGGGGCAGGACTGAGAGAACGGAAAGAACGTCAGATTGCACATACCCGTTTATTAACCACAATTTAAACATTTTCCATTAATTAAAATTAACACATGGTAACCATTCAGACACATCATTAAAGTTTGTTAGTATGTTAAAGACATTTGCCATTTCCACAATAAAATTTAAATTAGTACAATAATATAGAGAGTAACGAGTTATCACAAATAGAGGCAGCATTCAAACACCCAGTATTTAAGCACCAACGAAATTTGACTCTCCTTTCAGCACAACATTATGCGCATTGTCGGAGAACTGCGTTTGAGATGCACTGATCTGAAGAAATCTGTGTGAAATACAGGACAGCATAACAAAATCACGTTTCAATTCACAGAAAAAGATTGTATTCAGACACATGCTTTGACTTACTTTTGAAGAAGACCAATGTCTCCTGTTTGTTCACTGCCCGCAGTCTGAGAAACAAAAATTCCAGCTTCTTTGCATTTTGCCAGAGACACCCCAATAATTTGGAGCTCAGAATTTTCATAGGCCTCTATGCCAAAAACACAGTTTCGAATATGTGAATTTTTAATGCAGACTTTAGAGCCAGAATTGCAACTGACTGCAACATGAAGTCCATCAAATTTGCACCCATCTATTAGAACAGATCCTCCACAGTTGATGACAATGCCCCGACCATCACATGACTCATCATTTGTGATAGTGCAATTGACCAACTCAACAGTTGAGTTTTTGAGAACTTGAAGACCACTTGCCACTTTGCTGATATCAAGCTTGACATTTTTTATCTTCACAACAGCATTCCTCACATTGAACAGGAAGCTATTGCTTTCTTGCCCTGATATTGTTGGAACCTCCTCCCCAATCCCTGAAAGAGAAAGCATTTAAGTACTCCTGTCAAAGTTCAATTTCATCAATTTTTGAAATTTTAATACATGCATACCTATTAAAGAAATTGATGACTCAACAATTTCATTTAATTTGTGAGTTCCTCTAGTCACTAGAATGGTGTTGCCTGACACTGCAGATTCAAAGCCGCTTTGAAGTGATGAAACGGACCTGTAGTACACCAGACAGTTCACAGTCAGAAAGCTGAGACAAATTTGAGCTCCAATATTTTATGGGAAGGAAACAAAAGCCATACACTATACGTGTATCAGCACGCATTGCTGTTTTACAGGCAGTCAAAAAGTCAATGAATTCGTCCACAGAACCACTTTCCCATACAGCGATAGCTTCGCTGTTATTCCTTTTCCTTTCCTCTTCTTCAATGAAATGTTTGATGAATATTTTCCTGGGAACAAAGAACAAAGGCAGGCAGTTTTAACTCCAGCAAACTGGTGATAAAGCAAAATCCGATTTTTAAAAATGCAGACCTCATGGAAGGATTTTCAAGGAGCTGAAGTTCAGTTAACAGGGGACTCAGCTGCAAATGCACTTCCATCAGATTGAAAGTATGACTCTGAGCCGAAGGGGATACAATGTCTTCAGCCTCCAAGCCTTCAGAACTACTTTTGTGAATCAAACCTTCCAATTCTTGTTTTTTCTCGAACAGTTTTCGAGCCTGTTCCTTGCTCCTGTGAATTTTATCCACGAGCTTTACCGGCATTGAGCTGCCACTCATTTCGTAAAACCTGTAGAAAACACACTGCTAAATTCAAAGTTTTAGGCAAACTTATTTGGCTAGAAAAGGAGAAAGAGACTCACAGATCCAGACGAGGCTTCAAATATTTGGATGGCCAATCCCCTCCCTCTGTGTCTTCGACATCCCATGGGCACCACAGATGGTTGAAAAAAAACCTGTAAGTAAAGATAAGTTAAATGAAAACTGCACTTCCTATTATCCTGAGGTACCACAGACATCTCCCTTCCCGATACCTCAACTGATCAATAAAGTTGGCCGTGTATTCAACATTCAAAAAAGGATCCTCCTGGCTTTTTGTAGGATACAGCTGAATGAGAGGCACCTCTTGTTTACCAGGAATAGATATGTTGTCCTGAACTTTCTCAACTTCAACGAATGCAGTCAGCTCTTGGAAATCCACACTCAGCACCTAAAGGAGCAATGTAAGAAATAAGTAATAGTAAAAATCTATAACTGAAATGGATAGGCAGCTACGTAAATACCTACTTTTACAAAAACAAACTTGGGAAACATGATTTTCAGCTCTTCACAAATTTGACGAGATATTTTCCACAACGCCTGCCATCCCGTAGGCTCAATGAAATTTTCAAGCGTACAGGACCACTCGTCAACAACATCAGTGACAAGAACTGGGGCACCACTCGAACAGAGAACATCTTTAAATTCCTCCAGGCGCTTCTCACGGGTTTTGTTGAAGATGTAGACACAATCAGCCATTGCAGCTGTCATGCAGCAGTAAGCAGTAACAGCAGTACACTTGTTCACTCGGTCCTGGGCAAAAACAGTAAGGACCGAAAGAGGAAAATTGTAGTCACTTTGTCAGTCTACCAGTGCAAACAAAGCATTTCGAACCACAACAGTTTATGCATTGAATTCTGTCAACTTTTCTTACAAGATAACCAATAACTATAAGATTGCACAAAATCAACAGCCAACGCAAACGGCGGGAACACAAGTGGCCAAATCGGTGTGGAGGGGGTAAAAACAAATGAGGATTTGTTATGGACTGTCAGGGCTGCCGCTATTGACGATTGAAAACGCGCAGTAACGTCAGTTTATTATTAGCTTCTAACTCATTTTTATTGGACTCTTTCATAAAAATAGCAAATGTTATAATGAGCACCCATTTTTGATTTTTAGAGTTTTAGCTAGTTTTAGCTGCCAAGTTGTTGCACGTCGATGTTTGGCTTGGCAACATTGATTAGGAGTTGATGCCTAACGAACGCCCGGTAACATGCAAGTTTACGAAGTTGTTCCAGTAACTTTAGGTTCATACATTAGAATCTAAGATCCACATTCACTTTTCCATATCCAGAGTTGCAAGGGTGTAACACAAAGTTAAAGCATAATAAGATTCTTTATCATAATTTTTTATTTGTCACAATTGATGCAACACTTCAAGCTACAATCATCATGTTTTCATGTTTTAGCAAGACAAACTACTTTATTGATTTATACACCACCTCAACTAAATAGGGGAGAATTCCGAGTCTTAAGTTTAAAATATACATTTCATGCATCACAGAAGTTGATAAAATACATAATACTTTCCATGTATCTAAAAATACACATACACATGATTCGTTTGTTAAGTGTAACTTACAATTTTATTGAGATCTTATGCTTTCAAATAGAGAGGTTGGTCAGTTATGCACACTTGTAAAAAAAAACCTAGTTCATAAATCACCTACAATAAATGCAAACAATCAAACAAAATTCTCATGAATTTTTTTGTGTCCTGAGAACTAGCAGAGGCAACACTAAACATTGTCCCAAGTTACTTGTAAAGTACAATTTTTTTAAAATATTCATTACTAAATATATTACCAGGAGGACATTTACCTTTTATCAACACAAGAAGATATTGGAAGAAGAATGTCTTTAGGGTCATGCAAAATGGTAAACAGAACTTTTATGTTTTCACAGCAACCAATCAAACTCATACACTAAAATGAATGCTATCCCTAAAACGTAAGTGCCCTCTACACCTTGCACATAGCATGATAGTCACTGGATTTTGAAAACAAGTCACAATTGTTGCCTTAACAATTATTCACAAATTTAGGAATTAAAATCACATGCCAAGCCATGATGAAACTTGCTATCAAATTTATTTCAACTTTACTGAAGAAAGAGAAGAGAAAACAAAGCCTGTGTTTGGTGCATTCTGCTGTCTCTAAGAACCACACCAATCATGAAATTGAATTAGGTACTAAAACAGTGTTCAACAAAAGCAATAAATGTTCTAAACACTCAACTAAAATTACAGTTTTAAGTCAACAATCATTGATTTAAGTACATATATAGAATATATGTTGTCATCAAAAAGAATGTTGACATTTTTGAACTTGTCAGCTTGATACGTATAAGCATAAAAAGATAAAACCACTTAAGCTTAAATACGGCAAAATATTCTCTGAAAGTCAAAGATCCACTCAGCAGCAGGTAGAGTGATTTGTCAAAACATTATCAAAAAATGCAAATAATACAGGGAAAAGGACACTTTCCAGAAAAGAATCATTAAAACTACACATTAAAATATTTTCTGCAAAATGAAGGATTACTATGTACATATGTGACAAAAAAAGATACAAATACATCATAAGTTAAAAGGCCTAAAGCATTGCTTGGTTTATCTCGTGACAACTGATGTACCATCAAGTTTAGGGATTTTTGCTGGACGTTCAGCATCACTTTCTGAAGGACTATCGTTTGAAGCTTTGCTACCATTAAGATCACTTGTGCTGTTGACGGAGGTTGAATTATTCATAGAGGATAAGTTGTTTACTGGACTTGCATTCCCTGCCGAATTATTTGTTCCTAAAACAGTATCCTCTTTGACAAAATTTGTAGAAGCCATGCAAGTTATACTGTCCACTTTTTTAAGAACATCATTATTTGATGTTTGCTGACCATTATTGCTGTTTTTTACACTACTTACAGAGCACAATGGAGTTGACATTGATGAAGATACAGATGCAACTGAGTTTAATGACTGAGATATGGAAGAAGTAGTGGACAGATGAGAAGCATGTGAGCAGGTCGAATTTGTCATAGACACACTCAAACTGTTGTTCCTAAAATTATTTGTATGTAAATTTGATCCAGTCAAATTCTTGTTACTCAGGCTGATACTTGCAAGGTTGCTTAAGTTACTAAGATTACTTATGTTACTGAGAGTGAGATTGTTGAGATTAGCAAGATTAGAAATGCTCAGATTTCCCAAACTTCCTAAATTGCTCAGATTACCCAAATTATTCAAACTACTAATAGTAGCTAAATTTGAAACATTACTTCCCGATGTGCATGTGGTTTTGCAACCCTTGTTAGTAGTGTTGTTAAGTAAATTGAGACCTAGGGGAGAGATAAACATATTTTGATTGTTCCCAGGCAAAACACTCATCAAAGATGTTCCAGCAGGCAGTTTTCCGGCAGCTAGGATGGCACTGGTCATATCAGATCCAAGGAAGAACCCTGAAGAAGAACAGTTTGTAGACGATGTTGAATTCGCTGCACTGTGGCAATTTGAATTTACTGAGTTTGAAACGGAGGTGCAAGACAAACTCTTGTTTCCCACTTGAACAGGAACCATGAGGGAAGAAGAACATGTGCTGGTGGTTGCTGTTGCGGTGGTGGTTGTGGAGGGTATGGAAGTCTCTGGTGCATAAACCTTGATATTGCCGTCACTATCACGTTCTTCTGATCCTGGAGTCACAAGTTGACGGATGTAACCCCAAAGACTTCCATCAACTTGATCCTGAGGGAATTTTGGACTGAGTGTAGCCTGTAAAGGCAATAGTTATATTAATCATGTGCACAAAATAGTGTGGCAGAGCGAACAAACTAAGAAACAACATTTAGCAAATTCCAAGAGCTTACTTTCAATTTTTCCAGGTATGTAACATCACTTTTGTATACTTGATTAAAGTCAAGAAAATCGTGCTTCTCCTTGTAAAATTCTATCAATGATGTCTATAAACAAAGAACACAGGAGTAAGAGATAACTAAGTAAACTTTTAAGTGTGATAAAACATATGTATCAATGAGATGATTTACCAGCTCTTTGACCACATCAGGATGTAGCACTGCATCCTGAGCAATCGTATAATTCATAAGCATAGGTTTCCCATACTCCAATGGCTTGTTTTCTGGGGGTGGGGCAACCCAGTAACCAACAATGCTTGACTCAACGTTAGACGTATCAGTAAAATATGGCGCTTGAAAATAAGAAAAAGCACCATTAGCTGAATGAACTTGGCTATGTCTTGACACACAAATCCACAACATTTCCTTTGCAAGATACTTACAACATATGACACCAATACAAGGCGTATAGCATGAGTCGCTTGAACCTTTCATGTGCATTTCATGGTCTAACTGTTTGTCAATGTCACGAAGAGATGGTGATGCGGGCAGCACTGGGTGAGAATGATACCAACCAACTGGAATCAAACCTCGCTGTTCTATTTCTTTCCTGATTTCTTTCTCAACCAATTGTCCATTTGCCTGATCATCTAATCGAGACCGGCAAGGAAAAGCAGTAGTGATTGTAAGATCTGCAAATTTGATAAAGCATAAAATAAAATCTCAAAATGCAACATCTTAAATAACCAAAATTACACTTACTGTGACCATTTACATCCCAATGTCCAGCTAGGTAGCCACAAACTTCAGAAGACGTCAGATGGCAATGAAAATCAACAACTAACAAAGCACTTGTGGATATTGAGACAAGAAAGGGTTGGATTTTTCCTAAGGCTGAAAATGCTGTGCATTCCACCAGCATGTTTGGGTCACTGGCAAAAGAGAAAGGGACATCCATTAGTGAAACATGGAATATGACTGTATTAATTCTTACCAGGTTATAATTATTATTTTGTTTTTCTTTTCTTTTCATTAAGAGCACAACAGACAAAAAGTAATATTTTTAAAGTCACTCACTGCATACTAGTACGGTTTCCAATGTTGTGGTGTTTTACTGGCATTCTAACATAAGGCTTTGGCAGCAGGGCTGCTGCTGCTGCAAGAGCTGTGGTTGTAGCAGTGGCTGTGGTAAGGGCCGTAGCAGCAGTAGCAGCAGCAGTGCTTGTTGCAGTGACCATCGCTGCAACTGTTGTTGTTACAGTTCCTGGAGAGGCACTTGATGTAGTTGCAGGAGCCGGTGGGGGAGGAGGCGGAGGTGGTGCTAGCATTGTGGCTTCCTTGTCTACGCCCAACTCATAATCTAAAGGATAAATCCAGGAATAAATTGATAAAGGAAATACCTATTGTTGTGCAATTAAAATTTAAATGATGATATTTACCATTAGCTTCCTCACACAATTTCTTCCTTGCCTCGTTTCTTCTGTTGATCAATATATTCTTAAGTCCGTCTAATTTTCTACCCTTGTACCGTATCTGAAGGGATAGAACAAGACCACATATAAATCTTTGAACTTATAGAGCACTAAGTAAACAAAACTTTGCTAAAAGTAAGTGGTATTTTACCGATGCCCAACCACAGCCAGACTTTTTGACAGGATTAATTATTCTTCTGCAGTTCACTGCCCATGCACTTGGAGTGATGAAAACAATATCTGTTTCTTGTGATCGAATTTTTCCATCAGATAGGAGGTCGCCAACAAATCGCTGTCCCTGAAAATCAAAGAGGCAAAGCTATGGTTAAAGTACATCACATCATACATGCTGAATAACAATAATAAGTTGAAAGAGCCCAGCTGTTTATGGGGTTTAGTCTGGTTAAGTAGAGCTGAAATTTACACTTGTCTTTGTATTTAAAATTGGCATTGAACATGTACATATAGCTAAAATAGAGACAGGTTACTGCATTGTCTTACAGAATCCAATTTTATTTCTTATGGTAGTTTGAATGACACAAGACCCAAGGGAATCATTCATGCACCTAAGCTCATCTGATGCAACAAACATAAACGATTTCATGGGCGTCCTTAGTAGACAGATAGCTTTAACATAGTTTGTATGGTGACATCTAAATATTCAACACACAGCTATCCATGTTGCGGTGCTACTAAAAAAAGATTGCAAAGCAGAGCTAAGCACAAAACACCACTTCTATTTGTGGTTATTTCTTAACACAGGACTTAGGGGTGATGATGAAAGAGGTGTTAAGCAGCTGAATGAAGAGATGGTTACACCTGCACTGGTTTCAAAATGGAAGAAAATGGGGTAGACCTAAGACCAATCCACCCGACATGCATCTAGCCTGAAACTTGCCAAGACATTGATAGCACCACACATGAATTGGTGACAGAATGTTAAGTGTTTGAAAATTGAAAGAAATTTTATATTGAATGGCAAAGGCATAGCAAGAGAAAGCAGTATCACAGCACAGGCAATAGAGCAGCAGTAGCATTGGTGGCTGTAAGAACCATGAGCACAGCTAGCTCACCATGTATTCTATAGACATTGCACCCTCTCCCGGTTCGAGCAGGCCATCCGCCATGAGCATCTGCAGAGTGATGGTGCGAGCGATGAGGCATGAACTGGGGTGGTTCTTGCGATCCCCATTGTCCTCACCTGTATCCTGCCAAGTCAATAGTGAAACTCACCTTTCCCATATGATAGTTAACATCTACCGCAAGCCTACCATCACTGCATGTTATAATTTAGAATTATTGTTTCATACAAGTGCAGAAATGAAACATCCTATAACTCTCAACTTATAAATATTGAGACTACTTAATTATAGAATAATCTTTGAAATCAATATAGACTTCATAGAAACCTCATCAATCGAGTCATCTTCTTCCCCATCTTCATCAACCTCATCCTTGTCCTCGGAGTCGTCCGTTGTTTCAGCAATTGGTTGCTGCATCACACTGCCAGGCTACTATCCAAAGATCCAAACATGACATGCCATTCATTCAAGAGCATTGGACCACCAGAACAACACAAGAGTAATAAGAAATAACGAAAATGCCTACTGCTTCACTTACTTGCGTATACATTTGAACTAAAGTACTACACAGCATTACATGAATCAAGTACCTTAAACTGTCACAATATTAAAATTTAGACGTCAAAGTATAAAAGTGACTTCTTTAATAGAGTATGGAAGCAAACGGTTTAATACAAACTTACAGTTATTGTAGGTTATGTAAAACAAAACACTGAACATTCCCGACATGATGCTAAGTGCATCTGTGTGATAAGGGACCGGTGAAATAGGGCCCCGATTTGATTAAATGATAGAGCTGTTCAAAATAAGTGAAGCACGTTTTTGACTTTCCAATTGCCACCAAGAGAGAGCACAAAGAGTTCATCAGAGAAGGTTCAATGACAGAAGGTAAGAATACGGCATCACAAACCGAATCACATGCAGAACCGTTTAAATCCGCTCAACTACAATTTAGCGCAAAGAAAAACTTACCGGAACCAAACAAGCTTATCGTGTATTGAAAAACGAAGCAGTTATGATCACTGTGCCGTCAGAAAAGTGGCAAAAAGTCAGTTTTTTGAAATCCAGAAGCGGACCTTGACGGACAAACACAAACACGAAGAGGCGAGTATTGTTCATATTCAGATTGACATATGTAAAGGATCTAGAATTCATACATTGCTATTCAAATTTTTCATATTCACGGCTCGGTGGCATGGTGGCAAGTTAGGTTAGGAGTTCTTCATGCATTTTGGAAATAAATAAACCACGATGGCTGTAGCTCCTGAAGAATTATTTCGGCATGCTGCTGGAAGAGTTTTCAATTGTTGGTCTGCTCTGCAGGTACGCCCTGTTTTTTCTTTGGATTTAATAGATAGAAAAGCTTTGTCTTTTGTGAGAGGCTGGCGACCAACATGAGTGTGTCACACTTTTAGACTGTTAAGAGGTCTTTTTTCAAAATTGAATTAAGCCTTCTGATCGTTTTTTAATCGCCTTATGTTTATGTCCTGTGGCGTTCTCACTTTGCTAACATTTGCTGACCCACTCTACATGTAACTTGGATGTTGGTGAAAGTTTCAAGCCCTCTATTTTTCCATTCAATGCATTATTATTTCAGGTTTTTGTATGAGATAAACTTAATGTGCACCTGGACCTGTGTACTCAAGCTCCAGAGGGTTCTATATATATTTCTCCATTATTTTTCAGTTGGCAGTTGAACATGGAATGGGTGGTGCAGATGGATATAACAAGGCAATGGGCATGATTGACGCTGTGGTTGAATTATTCAGGAATAAACGTAAGCATCTTCATCATTCACAACCTGAAAGAAGGTTTATGATCCTCTTTGTTTATTTTCTCAATCTTTTTGCCTTATTACAGCTGATGCTGGTTGGGATGAGGTTGCCGACATTTTAGGTGACATGATGGATGATGAGTTCAATACCATCTGTGAGGATGATTCAACAGATGAAGTCGGTTCACTTCTCTGGGAGTTTTATAAGCACTGTTGTTCTGGAGATCAAGCACTTGTGGAGCAAGAGTTAGAAAAGTTGCCCTCAGGGAATTGGCTCAACAAATGCTTAAACCAGTCTCATCCTACAGCACCACAGGTTGGTTCAAATTTTCAGTTTTGTGAAAAAATTTGGAAACAATCATCACTTTTAATTTAAATAAATTTGCCGTATTTTTTAGGATGACAGTGATGATGACGATGATGGTGATGATGCTCAGGGTGGACCTAGCACTTCTAATGGACAAAACCAAATGGATGCCGAGATGGGCCCTCAGGGAGAGGATCCTGATCCAGGCTGGACTCAAGTTAGGAGAAAGAGATAGAAATTTTCCTTGACTTAAAAATGATTATGCTTGTAATGTTTTAATTACTGGTGTGTATTTATTATTGTTTGCATTTGCTTTTGGTAAAAAGAAATCTATCAAATGCGTCGGTTGTGATGCAATTTGTGATCATACTTTATAAGGAAGGCTCTTCCAATTCCTGTTCATTTAGTTTTATTGTCACATTACAATATGAGGAAAGGAAAAATGTTAATCACTGACATTGAATTGCTTTAAATCAGTTTGATGCTGTTTACTCCTTTTTACTTTTGAAGCATCATATATGTTGCCAAATAATGATGATGAATTAAATGACATATACTTGATTTCAGTTTGTGACTTCATTTTTAAATAATGCCGTCGCATTGCTCAGGGGAACGGATCAGCTACAGGAGAGACCACATGGCGAGGAGGGAGGCTGCCGCTGCTGCCGCCACAAAAGAGAGGGACGAGGACAGCAGTGCAGCACCGGCAGTGTACATTTTCATGCCCTGCACGTTGCCCGCCGGCCCGTAGTTGCAGACGAGGTACTCCTGGGTGAATCCGTTCTCGACGTAGCTGGAGCGGCCGCAGCCGAGCAGGTTGGTCTTGGCCCACGCCATCTGCGTGAAGTGGCCCGTGCCGGAGGCGAAGTAGAAGGTGCCGTCGTGGTACGAGTACTCCTTGTACTCGTCCCACCACATGTTGACCTTCTTGAGGAGCTCCGACTGGAAGCCGGCGCTGCTGCCCGTCATGGCGATGTTTTGGCCTACCTGGATCAGGCAATCGGGCAGTGCGGGCATTGAGTTGGGCTGCCAAAGGCGTGGGGGAGGGGCAACGGGGTTTTTGTCCCCACAGAGCACCTAGACAGTCGCCTGGAAGGTAGGCAAAAATCCATATCTGCTCCTGTATGTAGATACAAAGTGCTACTCTGGGGTCCACCACTTGGTTGGGCGTATCCAAGAGCACTGTCAGGTACTGTCTGGGCCTCGGCGCCCGCCCTACACATGACCCGGCAGACTCAGCTGCACGATGAGTGGCCTACCCGCCAGGCGGCCTCGCCCCGCCGCGCAAGTACGATGGGCTGCCTACCTCACGGACTTCCCTACGACACGTACCGACCACCGCTCAACGTGCCTGCACTGGTCGTGGCCGTAGGCGCACTGGTCGGCCCAGGTCTGGGCAACCAGCTCGAGCTCCGAGTCCCACTTCATGGTCTCCATGTCCGTGGCCGACGCGAAGCCGTCCAGCTGGAAAGACGCGTAGAAGCCTCAGGTCCAAGCTGTACTGATCTCGGCACAGTGGGCCAGAAGACCGGTGGAGGCGGCCAAAACGCTAGACGCGTTTTGAGCTCCAGAGTCACTAAACAGGACTCGAACCGAGCGTATGACCCCACCAATGGATTGCTCTCCGAACGAGGAATTCATTGGTGGGGTCACACGTTCGGTTCGAGTCCCATTTAGCGACTCTGGAGCACATAACGCGTCCGAGATTTTGACCGCCTCCACCGGTCTTCTGGCCCACTGTGCTCGGGGCTGGCGCGGTGAGCGCGGTACCTCCCCGTTGGCGAGCTGCCTCCGCAACTTGTTGTGCTCGTTGAGGATGTCGTCCTTCTCGGAGGCGCTCAGCCCGTTGGCGTCCTTGGAGCACTTGGCGGCCGGCCCGGAGCCCGGCTTGAACTTGCAGGCCGTGTGCGAGCCGCCGGGGCAGGACGGCAGCTGGCAGTAGTCGACGGCCGCCACCACGGCCATGTGCAGGTGCAGCAGCACCAGCAGCCGCGCCAGCCGGAACCACCAGGGCGACACCTGGCGGGGCGAGAATGACGCGGCGCTTAGGGCATTGCATGGGATGGGGCCGCACAGTGGGCCGCCGTGCAGTTCAGCCGGGTAGTTCCCGCTGGAGCGCAGTGCTTTCTTTACCTCGGGGGTCATCGTTTCAAGTGCAGTGTAACACAGCCCGGTGCAGGCTGGGTGCGGGGTGCTGCGCCTGACCGGTGCTATTCAGTGCAATTCGACTATAGACGCCATGGCAACCGCGGCCACTGCGAGCAACTACCAGCCGCTGGCTGGCCCGGGGATTGGCACACAATTTGAGTCCCAAAGCAGAGGAAGCAGTGTCTGGCAATGTCGCACATCAGGCGGACGTAACTAACACTCCTTGAGCTGCGCAGTCTTCAAAGGACTCAAATCACATGCCATTATAGTGCCATGCTGTGTGATTGCTTGGTTCTACTTGAGGACTGTTGGGGCCGAAAAACGTGCCCGCCTCAACTGGTCATCGTCCCTCCACTGTGAATCGGACTCCGGAAAGCAGACTGATTCCGAGAGTCGTTTTCGTCGCTCTGTCTCCCTCGCACTCATGGGGCGCCCCCGCGTAGGTGCGAGAGAGACAGAGCGACGAAAACGACTTTCGGAGTCAGTCTGCTGTCGCCCTGTGGGTGGACGCGGCCGGTGAGAACTTTTCAATGAGGATGAGGGCATTGGAGTCCCTGACCACGCGGCCGTCCACGACAGCACAGTGCGAGGTCGGAACAGACTTGGCCGCTTGGCCGTTACAGGGGTCGTATTTACCAGTAAGCTAGGTGATAGGGTAAGTAGAAGACGTAAGGCAAAGTAATATATAGTATATTAGGAGTATATAGGGCGAAATTGTGGTAATATGCGGAAGTAATTATGGTAATCGGTTTAGTACCATTAGCACCTGCGCTAACGCGTTAGAGTTTTGGCCGACGGCCTCGGCCAGTGACGGGCAGCACGTGACTTGGGGGCTGTGCTCGCCTCAGTTGGTCAGGACAGGGCGGCCTGGGGGGGGGCAACGCGCCTTGTGCCGTTCGGACAGCGGCTGATTCCGAGCAGTCGTTTTCGCGCTACTGCTCTCAGGCGCACTCACGGGGGCCGTTCGGGTGCGGGAGGCGGAGGCAAAACGACCTCGGAATCTGTCCCCGGACCCCGAGGCCGTTGGCAAGGTACCGCGTGTGCTCGCCTCTCATTTCCATACGGCGTCGCTTTGGAATGGCGGCACCAAGATTCCTCGGACCCCAGGCGATACCCCAGGCTACGTGACTACGGGGTGAGTGATCCTAATTTCAAATTGAAGGGCCACCGCCTAGGCCAACGCCCGGCCAACGCCCCGCCGCGTTCGGTGCCGTTCGGAAACACAGCGGACTGATTCCGAGAGTCGTTTTCGTCGCTCTGTCTCTCTCGCACTCACGGGGCGTCCCGTTCGGGTGCGAGAGAGACAGAGCGACGAAAACGACTCTCGGAATCAGTGTGAGCGGATCCCGAAGGCCGAATGTGGACGAAGGTACCGCGTGTGACCGACCTCCCTCATTTCCATACGGCTCGCTTTGGAATGTGGCGCGCACCAAAGATTCCCTCGGTACCCCAGGGTATACCCCAGGGTACGTGATACGGGTAAGTGATTAATTTAATATTTGGAGAGGCCCACAGTGCACAGTGCGGCCCACAGTGCGCCGGTAACGATGTGTGTTTGAATGCGGCCATAACTCACGGGGCGGTGTGTCCCACCGTGGATCAAGGCCACCAAGGTGGGGAAATGCACCGCACAGGGGGATGTGTCCGTCGGGGACGCACAGTGGGCCAGAAGGCCGGAGGAGGTGGCCGAAACTCTAGTCGCGTTTTGAGCTCCAGAGTCGCTAAACAGGACTCGAACCGAACGTGTGACCCCACCAAAGGATTGCTCTCCGAACGAGGAATCCATTGGTGGGGCCACACGTACGGTTCGAGTCCTGTTTAGGAATCTGGGATTTTGACCGCCTCCAACAGTCATCTGGTCCACTGTGAGACGCAAAGGAGGCAAAAACTACAGCAGGCTCAGAAAGGTTGCTTATCTCTGCCTAACCGCCGTAGGCAATGCTTTTGGCTCTCGAAAATTTACCTAGTTGGCAGGCTGAGGTTGGCTGTCACTTCATGGTGCATCGTGGAAATTTATCTAAACTCTATTTTTGGGGGGATTTTTAAGAAATGACGAGCTTTCAAATGGACGTTATTTAACACCCTTTGACAAGGCGACGCGTTTGCCGCGCCCTACGGTGCCTCTCCCTTGGAGAAACGGACGGGCAGCCACGCCCGACTTCCACCTGGAGAAGATAGCAGGACTAAAAAAAGGGAAAAACTACAGTGCACTGCCGCTGCTAAACTGCTACGTGGTCATGCGGTCATTACGTGCAAAGATGTGGTGCGAATGGCGGCGCCGCGGCGAGCCGCTTCGCTTTTTTATTTATATAAATATCGTTCTCTCTCCTTTTTTTTTTTGCGGCGCACTTTCATTCACACAGGTGAATCTCTTTCTCTCCTCCTTCCTTCGAGTAAGGTGAGGGAGAAGGGAAGAGAGTTTTTTGTTGTTTCGTTGACGACAAACGCCCCGGCGTTGTTAACACGTTTTACCGCCACTTAGGTAAGTCGAGGCGAGTCGACCCTTCGCACCTCGCGCCCCGCTTCGCCTGCGGACTGATTCCGAGTGTCGGTTTTGGTCGCTCTGTCTCTCTCGCACCCGGACGGGACGCCCCATGAGTGCGAGAGAGACAGACTCGGAATCAGGCGGCGGGCTTCACACCGCGGCCCTTCTCATAATTAGGGGACGCCCCCTGTCATTTCCCCGCCGGAAGGGCTGAAGGGTCGAAGGGGCCGCAGCGTGGAGGCTCCATGACACACCGCCCCGCCCCGCCCCAACCCCACCCCGCCCCACCCCACCCCGCCCGACAGAAGATATTCCAAATACTCGGACACAGCGCGGTGGGAGCGTGCCAGCCACATGAGTAGGCGAAAATTCCCACGATGTAAGGATAGCCAACTTCAGCCTGTCAACTACTGTAGACTTTGCTCTCGAAAGGTCGTCTCAAAGGCAGGCTGATCACAGTGGGTCAGAAGGCCGGTTGGAGGCGATCGAAATTCTAGACGCGTTTTGAGCTGCAAAGTTGCTAAACAGGACTCGAACCGAACGTGTGACCCCACCAATGGATTGCTCTCCGAACGAGGAATCCATTGGTGGGGTCACACGTTTGGTTCGAGTCCTGTTTAGCGACTCTGGAGCTCAAAACGCGTCTAGAGTTTTGGCCGCCTCCACCGGTCTTCTGGCCCACTGGGCGTCCTCAGCGACGCGCGTTCTCCTTGCCCGGCTTAATCTGAGCGCGAGACGCGAGCGAGTAAATAACGTGGCTAAACGGCGTGGCCGCTCGCGGGCGGACGACGTACGTCCTGCGCACCGCCGCCAACACCATCCAGGCCGGCCGGCCGGAGGCACGCCACGCCAGAGGCAGCCAGAGGCCACACTGCTGAGCAGGACGCTGTTGCATTTCGCAAGTTATCCGGCGCCGCAGGCTCCCCTCCCCTTTTCTACGCCCACCGCCTTAAACCAAGAAAAAAGGAACGCTGTGTTTACCAGCGGAAATCTCTCTCTCTCCCTCTCCGCCGTAAATGAATGGAGTCACGGCAAGGGGCTGGCCGGGCTGGCCGGGCCGCTACGACCACGACGGGACAGTTTAACGGTGCCGGCGACGAGTTCAAGGATGGCTGTGTCGTCACCGCGCCGCGCTTTTCGGGTTTTCGAGCTGCTGCAACCAATATACCTACTGAACCGGAAATCCCACCCACCACCTCCCCGACAAGTGTAGACTGCACTGTGAGAAAAAAGTACGGAAAAAGTACGGAACATGTCTGGTCAATGATTTGCCTGGACCGTCCGTACTTGCCAACTACGGAACGTTCCGTGCCCATTTACATGGGTTCATATGGAGCAAGTACGGAACGTTCCGTACTTTTCTCCGTACCTCCGTACTATATTTTTCTGTACCATTTCCGTACAAAAGTACGGAATTTTTTACAGTGTGACTGAGAGTCGTTTTCGTGGCTCTGTCTCTCTCGCAGCTAAGCGGGGAGCTCCATGAGTGTGAGAGAGACAGAGCCACGAAAACGGCTCTCTGGATCAGTCAGCAGGTTGGCCAAGGCGCGACAAGGCTGGCAAGCCCAGCGGCGAGCGACGATCATGTGTGGTCTAGCCCTTAATGGTAATGGTAATGGCAGGGTAGGCAACCCCTCCGCCGCGGCGACGCACCGCCGCCCAGCGGGTTGCCTATCACAGCGTCGCAGGCGGTGTCCCAGTGCGGTAACGCGGACCGCCCTGCCCGGGTCCATCACTCATTCCAGCCACGCCACCGGTAATTTCACTTGCGAAGTCGCACGTATCCCCCCCCCCCCCCCCGGTGCTTCCTGTCAACGCCGTGCCCGGTGCAGTGGCGTACGAATGCCTTCGTTTGACAAAGCCAGTCCGGGCCACAGGGCTCTCTGACGGAACCAGCCCGAACAACAGTGCGTCTGTGCTCACTAGTTATTTTGCGTCCGTCGATAACGTATCGCAGGTCTGCAGACGCTGATGCCGGGGGTCGTTTTCGTCGCTCTGTCTCCCTCGCACTCACGAGGCATCCCGTTTGGGTGCGAGAGAGACAGAGCGACGAAAACGACTCGGAATGAGACACGTGAGTGCATGGGGTTCACGGGGTTCCCATGCGTGACGCACACTGTCCGGAGGCCGCCCCATTCCTTGCTGGACAGTGGCCGGCCTGTCGTCGTCGCGGTCAGTCCCTCCTTGTCGCACTCATGGAGTGGCACGCCGGCGAGGGGGCCGGGGAGAAGGGCTTCGATGGGGAAGCCGAGATTGGAGGGGGAGGGGGTAAACGAGGGGGTAGGAAGGAAGCTCAGGCTGTTGGTATGTCTGTCTGTCTGTCTGTCTGTCCTGTCTGTATGTCTGTCTGTCTGTGTGTCAGTATGCCATAGTGCGTAACGTCTGTGTCTGTCTGTGTGAGTACGTCTCTGTTGTCTCCAAGTCAGTTATGTGAGTGAATGTCAGTCTGTCTATCTGCTGGAATCAGACTGCACATATGTGCCATGTCCTGCCCTCTCTGTGCAGCGCCTTGTGTGTGTGTGTGTGTGTGTGTGTGTGTGTGTGTGTGTGTGTGTGTGTGTAACTGCAAGTGAAAAGCATGAGACGCTGCG